TAGATGCTGGAGTTTACTAAGTTGGGTGCGAGTTGACTCCATATGTGGTTTGTTAGATTGGGATCCTGCAAGCAGCCTTCCAGCTGTTGAAGCAATTTTGATGCTGAAGGCTAAGTAGCCATAGCTGACTAGTGTTCTCCTAATCCCAAAGGGTCAGAGCAGGCTGTGCATGAGTGGCTTGTCTGTCCAGTATTACCACTCTGCAACCACAGAGGATAAACTGTCCGTGGGATACTAGGCAAATGACCATATGTATGGCCATGTTTATAAACATCAGCTACAAAAAATCCATGCTGCAACAGAAGTCATGAAGTTAAATTCCTGTGCTCTCTGCTTCCTGAGTTTCTGGACTGTGTTAGCTTCTTGTGTTCAAACTTTTCTCTGAAACCTTAAGAGCTGGGAAAAATATGCATCTAAATAAGAGTTTTGTATTTCATCTACTGGAACTTTGTCCTGGGTTCAGCAGTAGCAGTCATTTTTCTCCATCTTAGTAGCTGGTGCAGTGCTGTGTTTTTGACTTTCAGCCTGGGAACAGCACTGATAACGCTGATGTTTTTAGTTGCTGCTCAGTAATATTTACTCTGACCAAGGACCTTCTGAGTCTCCTGCTCTGCCAGGGAGGAGGGGAAGCTGGCGGAAAGCAGAGACAGGACACCTGACCCAAACTGACCAAAGAGGTATTCCATACCACAGCATGTCATGCCCAGTATATAAACTGGGGACAGTTACCCGGAAGAGCCAGATCACTGCTCGGGTCAGTCTGGGTATGGGTTAGCGGGTGATGAGTGGTTGTATTCTCTTCCCTTGTTATTTCCTTATCATTATTATTATTGGTGGCAGCAGCAGTGATATGTGTTATACCTTAGTTACTGGGCTGTTCTTATCCAAACCCATGGGAGTTACATTCTTCTGATTCTCATCCCCATCCCTCTGGGAGTGGGGGGAGGAATGGCGGGGGGGAGTGAGTGAGCGGCTGCATGGCTCTGGGTTGCCATCTGGGCTTAAACCACGACAAACATCAATAGAATTATTAAATATAGGAGTAGACAACACTGAAAAGGTTAGTCTAATTTAAGCAATGATTGATTACCACACTAAGAAAAAGTCTCTAATCTGTGTGAAAATGATGCCATCCTTGCAAGCAGTATAATGGTTTTTTTTATCCTTGATCTTGAAAAGGACAGACAGCAAAAAAATATCATAACTGCAAAGGTTTCTGGGTCAAGAATGATCCCATCTGAAAAAGCTATTGCTAAGATTGTTCCAGAGTTGTTTCTTGTGAAAAGAAAAAAAAAAAATTATATTTCTTTTTAAATTATGATAGAAAGTCTGTCTAAAGTGATGCTCCCTTATTGAGGCATGAGAGCAAACTGTCGAGTGATGGTGTCAGAAATGCTGACGATACGCAGTTAAAAAGTCCCTTATTTTCACTGTCTACAAGAAATGAAATACTAACAGCAAAGAATAGATTAGAGATAAGAGATGATACCCCCTTTGCAAGTATCAGAGTTTATCTCCATCATACTGTTCTGTCCAGCTACATAAGATAACGTCATAATCGGAGATAAGACACCTCATAATAACTAGTTTCAAAGAAACTCAGGTAACAGTAGCTGAACCACTGGAAGGGTGATTTGTTTGCCAGTGTGAGTATAAACACGTGGCTGGCCAAAGCTGCAGCCTGTAGAAATTAACCTTGTGAAAGAAAAAGATGCTGTAAGTTGCCTGCAGTTGTTTGTGAGATGATGCAAGCACCAAGAGACTGGTGGAGAAGCCTTCTGTAGTCTAGATGTAGAAGTGGGGAAGGTGTGTGTCGTATCATGCAGAGTAAGGGAAGGTGAGGACCTCTCACCCTTTTCTTCCCCGTTAAATCACAGTAGTTAACAGCATGAGTTTGTTCTGTTGTGTTTTTTCTTAGGAAGCTGTTTGGAATCATTTTAATCAGGCTGGTTACAGGGCCCCAAGAAAGCATTTGCAGGTGCCAAGCACAGGTGGATCCCTGTTTTCACGAGTGGGACCGGAGATGTCCTGTCCAGAGACAAGTCTGGAAGCTAAACATTCTTGGGAAAGACACACAGAAAGGGAAGCAGCTTGAGCAGGTTTCTCAGGGGATGATTAAGGATTTGGGGGACAACCTAGATTGCAGCTATGATGATAAAATTGCAAGAGGGGGAGAACAAGTCTGAAATAGGAGATGTTAAGTGTTCATGGGGAGGAAAGCCTGCTGCTTGCAGAATGTGATCACAGGCAGCAGCAGATTAGAGATGCAGATCATTCTTGAATCTGACAAATGAGAGTTCAAACAATTTGAAATCTGTATATTTTAATGTTTCACCATTAATAACTTGAATTATGATGATGGTAAACAAGGCAAGTAAAGAGCCTGGAGGCATTAGCTTTGATTATCATGTGGTACAGATTCTTGACTACAGAAAACTCATTTGGACCAAGTGAGTCCCTGGCCTATGCAGCTTCAATTCATGATTTGCCATTGGAGGTACCAGGACTCAAGTTGCCATTTGTTTTCTTTCTTCTTCCTTCCACCCTCCCCACAGACACACCCTCCCACCCACTGCTTCCTTATGTGCTGCCATCCTGGGTCTAAAAAGCTGCTGTCCTAAGAATTACTGAACCTAAAAGAAAATAGTGCTTTGTTCTATCTGAAAGCTTTGCAGGCTTGAGTCATATGGAGGGTAAAAAGCAATCCATCTTAAAGATTGGTGGGTTTTAAACCACTGAAACCAATATTTGACTTTAGAATTGGGAGGAGAAGGATGTTTGTCATGATAATGCAATTTAAAACCTAATTCCTACTAGCCTTGTATAATGTACACAGTGTTTCACAAACTGGTACAAGCACGAGTGGGAAAGCTTGTGAATTACCAGAAGAGCTGAGATTTAAGCACAACCTGCTGTTTTTACAATGTTATTTATTTATCTGGAATAAACATTTCCTTTTCTACTGGAAAAAAAGCTGGAAAGGATATAGAGGGTGTATGTATTTGTGAGTCTTGGCAGAGTTCTCCAGTGGCTTCATTGGCCAGGATTACACACAGGGCAATTATATCTAATCTTTGTTACATTAACACAAAGTGGTGTCTTCCTTCTTATTTCTTCAGATTTACTTGTGCAACTTTCATGTTGCCCCTGTGGCAAGTCCTGTGGAATTTAAGATACCTCTGTTGATAGTGCTTCTCACACTGTTCATTTCTTGAGCTGCTCCACATATTTGAGCAACACAGTGTCCTCATCTGGAATAACTAGGTCCCTACCCTACTATCAGAACAAGTATCTCTATCATATCCCTTCCGCCCACTCCTCAGAGTGATACCAGTCTTATTCCTATGCTTGCTTTCTTCTGCTCAGGGAATGCCCTTCCTGATGTCCTCAGCAAAGCCACAACCCTCTATGCCTTTAAAACTTCCCTGAGGATCTGCTTCTGTGATGCTTGCAAGAAACTAGCTAAGTAATCTGCTTACCTATTTCATTTATCTCATTAGTGACTCACTCCTTCCATGGTGCCTGCAAGAAACTTCTTGACCAAATCTACTTGATCTTAGTCTTTTTTTTTTATCAAATAAAATTGTTGCTGGATTTTTCCCTGCATTGGTTGGGTGAATTCTAGGCTAACTGGATCACAGTCATCTTTTGGATGCCACTGTTCTTCCTGCCCATTTGTTGCTTGTATCCTTAGTTCTTTTTATTAAAAATATCCCCTCATCCTCCAACTGCTTACAAATAAAGTGGCTTTGGTCTTCACTTGGCTCTTCATGAGTTTAGCAGAGCACCAAATATGTGTAGGAGTCCACATACTTGGATCTGATTATCGGCTCTGTATTAATTCAGGAGCTACTCCAGCCACAATCAATGGTTTCTGCCTCTAGCGGATGTCTGCTTCCACAGTTTGCAGGAGTGTCTAAAACACTGTTCTTAAGGAGCTAATAGCTTTCAGTGTGACCATTGATTGTTGTCATCCTATGCTATGCATTTTTGGTTACCTAATTTTCATGTTTGTAACTCCAAGAAAGTTCTGTAACTTTGAAGGTTTTCAGCTTGTTAATGCTCTTTAGCAAGCACAGATGTTATCCATACTTTAAACAGAGAATTTTGAGGTATTTTAATTTAACACAATTTTAACTTAATGGATAAGAGTAAGAAGTTAAAAACTTTTTTTTCCTCATAAGAGAAGGTAGCAATCTGATTTTTATTTTTTTTTTTAATAGTTGTACTGTGTAGTGGCATGAAGCAGTACATACAGGGATCATTTCTGTTCCTGTCCTGCAGAACAGGCAGCACTTATCTGTGGCTTGTTGTGCTTGTCATGTCTTTCTAATGCGTAAAAAGCAGTGGGTTTCCCATTGGTGCAAATGGTGGTGTTTGTATTTAGTGTCTTCTTCAGCAGGGCATCTCCATCTGCATGAAGTAAAGAACATGCTGTGTGTCAGCAGGATGTGTGGGCTGGAGTGTGAGACGTACCCCTGTTCACTTGTTACCAGCATTTTGCGAGGAAATGACTATGTCTGCATCCTAATTTGATACCAGTTCTGTGGCATTATCATATAGCAAGCTAATGGTCACATAGGTGATTAGTATTGCTAGACACGATGGCAGTGTTCCTCTAATTAGTAAAGACTTCAGTTTGTTCAGAGTTTGAATCCCTGTATTCCCTACGAGCCTTGCCTTGGAGGTTGAGGCTGGAGCTGTACTAATAGAGCTTATCTCCGGTTACTTTTCCTGCCACATGGGGAAGGGTTACCTGAGGATGAGTCCTGAACATTATCATGTTAGTAATTTGCCAGGTGGAAAACAAGGAAACTGTCTTTGAATACTCAGAGTTACTGCTGACTAGCTCTCCCGGGGGCGGTCCCTGTATGGAGCGTGAAAATGGGCAAAGGAAGGAAAAAGAGCGCCCAAGAGAATACAGGTTTCTCCAGCAAACTAGCCGAGAGCTTTGAAGTAGAACATGCCATCAACGCGGACTTTCTCTTTTCCTCTTCTAGCTCAGCTTATGATACCAAAACAAGACAGAAGGTGGCGGTAAAAAAGCTTTCAAGACCTTTTCAATCGCTTATTCATGCGCGGAGGACCTACAGGGAGCTTAGGTTGCTAAAGCACATGAAGCATGAAAACGTAAGTGGAGAGTGACTTCTTTCCCTTCGGATTTTCATGACAAAAGTTTGCAATATAGGCTTAATTTCAGTTAGGTACAATCTTTATTAAAAAGTATATGCAATTCTCTAGCTACCCAAGATACCATAAGGCATCTTATGTGAAGTCACTGGACTTTAGAGACTTCTTTAGAGACTTTCAGTAAAAGGCTGCCTTTCTAAGTAAAAAATATCTCAATTCATCTTGAAGATGCAGCTGATGAAATCCAAAACAAGTGATCCCAACTTCCCTAATAAAGTAATGTTCTGCTTGCTGCTGCTGGATGCTCTTGAAATGTCAGTCCAGGAAAAAAATAACTCAAGCCTGCTTTTGCTGAATTTGGATTCTCTTGAGAAATTAAGGGCAGATACTCTCATTGACATTAGCAGCAGTGTAATATTTAGATGAACAATAGTAGAACTTCAGGACCCAAATAATCCAGTACTACTCTATGTGGCAAGCAGTTGATTTCTGTGGGACTATCCATCTGCTTAAAAGTAACTTGATGAATTAAAGCCCAAATAAAATAAAGTGGGTTGAAAAGTATCCTGGAGAAAGGATGCTAAAAAAGCTAAATAACAACAGAATGAGAAACCCCATGAAACTGTGCATAATTTTAAATATTGTGTATAAAGTATGTGTCAGCTTTTTTGTGATGAGGTATGACTTTTCCTGCCTTTATTTCTGACTGTCTAGAGTCTTCTTGTAATTACTTATACTAATTAGTATAATTTCCTGTTGGTCATGGAGGTAGCTGAGGCTATACCTGTACAGACCACCTATTGTACCAGTTGTACTAAGTTTTCAAGATGTCAGAATGTCATATTTTGCCAGTTTCATCCCAAGAATGCCAAGCACTGTCATTACTGATTCCATGTTGCTTTACAGATGTCTAAAAATAAACTGTTGATTCCCTCCTCTTTCAGGTTATAGGATTGCTGGATGTTTTTACACCTGCAACATCAATAGAAAATTTTAACGAAGTGTAAGTAAAATTGTAAAGTCATTCCGTAGTTAGTAAGTACCACTCTGGTGTTTAAAAAGAAGCATGAACTGTTCTAGTGGACTTGCAGCCACAGATGGCTTTGGGTGAAGAACCCCAATAAATCCATTTGCAACTTTTCCACTGAAGAGGAGGCAGGAAGATGGGACTCATTTTTGTACTTTCTTGAATGATAGTTAATAAGATTATAGGTATATGATAAGTGGTTTGATGCTGCTTGCCAGTAAACTTAAAACTTTTTCAGTTCAATTATATATGAGCTGTAGATTATCTTTTCACAGCTAGGTGGGATAGCTCAGGAATGCAGGAAAGTATCTCTTGGTTAACTGAGACAATGTAAATTTAGGCTAGATTTCTGACTAACCAAGGGCTAGGTGTATTTTCATGTTACATGTACGATTTATGCTGAGTTCCTCTTGGTTTACATCCTTTATAAGCACTTAGGTAAATAAGTTAGCAGAAAAAATAGTAGCTAATATATTTTTGTCTCCATGGAAATTAGTGCCAAACACCTTTGACTCTGGGGCAAAATTGCACAAATAGAAACTGGGTATGATAGATGCATGCTTGTATCCTAGCACTGCTTTTGGAAAAGAGTCAACATTTCTGCAAAATTTGTCAGAAAATAAAGCTTACAGCAGGGCTTGAGAGGGAAGTTACAAAAGCCACTCTTTATTTCAACCAGTTCTATGTTCATTTCCATCATCAGATATTCCAGGGCCCTGCAGGTGCTGTAGTTTCAGTGCCGCAGGTTCCCAGTTTGATATTGTGTGAGGCTTTCTATTCATCTCAAAATATGATGCGTTCTCCCCTCACTGAACTGCTGTAGTGTGTCCCAGGGAAAACAGAGATACAAGTTTTTAATGTACTGTAATGATTTTTCTTTTTCGTTATATTAAATCTCATAGCTGTGATTCCATTATTGAAGGTCTTAGATGATTTAAGTGGCATAAACTATGGTGTGTGTTGGTAGAACATGGAAAAGGAACCTTCATGGGTGTATGTAGTTGCTCTAGATGTGCTGCTTTTAGGATTTAGATTCTGCCATTTGTAAATGAGATGTGTTTCTTTTTCTTCTGCTCTGTGTTTTATTTTCACAGGTATCTTGTGACAAATTTAATGGGTGCTGACCTGAATAACATTGTGAAGTGCCAGAAGTTAACAGATGACCATATACAGTTTCTCATCTATCAGTTACTTCGAGGTCTTAAGGTAACTGGCTATATGCAAGAGTTTTAGAGTCTGCAGCCAAAATGTAGTAGTGACTGATTTGTTGCAGTGACAGTACTTAACACTTTTTTTTTTTTATGTCTTAAGACTTGCAGATAACAGCAATCATTGCAGAAATTACCAGATCATTTTTATAACCAGAAATACCCCCAAGCCTGCCAGCGTTTACGTGCATAATACATGTGAATACTCCCCTTGAACACTAACTTTAGATCTGTCTATTTAATTATTATTGGAGGAGAATCATTTGCTATATAGTGTCTCAAGTGAACATGTTGTGTAGCACACAGTGTGTGTTTTAGACACTTCACCTGTCACAAGAAGGTAGTGCAAAAACATTCTGAAGAATGTGAACTTGGTAAAGAACAATATGGCAAGTAACTCACATTTGTGCTTTGAAAGACATAAGCGGGTTTGAAAAACTGCAGCTCTCATTTTGGTAGGGAGCATGACATGGATGAAGAGATAACCAAGTTAGCTGGGTTCTTTGAGAAATTTCTGGAAGGAGAAGTGTATCTTAGCAATGTACAGTGCTGCACACAATCACCTAGGATTTAAGCTGCTCATAAGTTCATTGTTTCTTTTAATTGTATCAGTGAAAAGGTATACAGTCACGTAACAAAGGCAGTTGGCAATGAAACTGTTGCAAAATTTTCTTCCAAAAGAATTAAAATAGTTGTATTTTTTCTGACATTAAATATTAAAGTGTCTATAAAGAGCAGAAGATGTAGGAAATGTTTACCATTACAAGGTGATAAGCATTTCGTTGGACCAGTGTTGATTTTCACAGGAATAAACAAAAAGAAAAGAGATGGGTCAGCTACTTTAGTAGCTAACTTAACAGTAATTGATATTTTAAACATGGAAACTAACTCCATGTTTGAAAGCAAGCCATGGTAAGTACTGGCTCTGAAATATACTTTTTATATGATTTTCAGCAAGTCACCTTGTGCCTGAGACAGTAATTCTTATTCATGCATGAAGGTTCTGTCAACTGAAGTGCAGATCTCAGTGAATAAAAATTGCAGAACTGAGCCCTTAATTGCTTTGTCTCATTTACTTAAGTTAATAGCTTAATTAGGAAGATGGATTCTGGAGTTAATTATCCATCTTTGGAATTTTGAATATAAGGCTGTTGTGTCAGAGCTAAATAATAGTAAAAGTTGTCCTCCAAAGTGAATGTTAATTTCTGTCTCTTATTTCCAATGGGGGAGGTTGATGGCGGCTCACCTCTTCTGGAATTGAAATTCTCGTGTCTCATTAGTTGAAGAACATTTGATCATATATAACTCCTCACTTACATCTATGCTATAGTCATTTCAACATGTATTTGCATACCTGAATAAGCTTTGGACTTGCTGGTAGGTGTGTTCAGCAGTACCGAGCACGGGCTTCATGCCCTGCAGAAGCTGTCTGAGCAGATGAAGGGTTAGTGTAGAGCTGCATAGGTTGGCAGACTCCTGACTGGCTGGTGGAGGACTGCTTGTGGTACTAAGAGCAGCTGTTGTCATCATCTCAACAGAGCAGGGAGACAGCTCCTTCTGTTGGAAGTAATGGTTTGGTTTCCTCTTCATTCAGCTGTGCTTGGCTGTTGTGAGGAGTACTCAGGGGTGGCCCTGCTTTTTTGATAAACAGTGCAGAGGTCTGGAACAAGAAGAATACCCGGTGTTTTCTTTGGGTTTTCCAAGTAGATATCTCTGCTCTTAAATAAAGGTGAATTCAGCTCAAGAAAATAGAAAAGAAGGCTTTCAAGGTCTTGCTGACCCTGGTCAGTAAGGTCATAGATAAATTTGCTGTTAATCCTAACAAGTGAATGATAGGCAGTTACAGAGTAAGCTTTTCTCAATCTTAAAGTTTTAACGTTTTATGTAGAATAGCAGAGGCACTAAATAGAATCATAGAATAGTTATGGTTGAAAAGGACCGTAAAATCATCTAGTTCCATCCCACCTGCCATGGGCAGGGACACCTCACACTAAACCATCTCACCCAAGGTTTTGTCCGACCTGGCCTTGAACACTGCCAGGGATGGAGCATTCACAACCTCCCTGGGCAACCCATTCCAGTGCCTCACCACCCTTAGTAAAGAACTTCTTCCTTATATCCGATCTAAACTTCCCCTGGTTAAGTTTTAACCCATTACCCCTTGTCCTGTCACTACAGTCCCTAATGAAGAGTCCCTCCCCAGCATCCTTATAGGCCCCCTTCAGATACTGGAAGGCTGCTATGAGGTCTCCACACAGCCTTCCCTCCTCCAGCCTGAACAGCCCCAACTTTCTCAGCCTATCTTCATACGGGAGGTGCTCCAGTCCCCTGATCATCCTCGTGGCCCTCCTCTGGACTTGTTCCAACAGTTCCATGTCCTTTTTATGTTGAGGACACCAGAATAGCCACTGGAATACTGCTTTGGATCCCTGCTTTTAAAGTGGACCTGAAGTAATGCTGTGGCTTAGGTAGGTATTTTGGTCACTAACCTGTTGCAGGGTGCAAGTGTCACCCACATCAGCAGTCACAGTAAGTATTAAGGTGACTTAATATCACCTAGATGTCAACCATACTGCTCCCCAGCCACTGACTTCACTGAGTTGCTGCCTGATCAACATGGACATTCAGATAAGACTGGGACAAATTCCAAATTGGTGTGAAACTTTCAACAGAAGAATCACTGCAAGTGCTATCTTTTATGGTAGAATCTAGTCTTTGTGGTAACTTTTCTTGAAATGCCCAGTTCTGCATAAGACAAAACAAGGAGGTTTTGAAGTTCATCATACCCTGTTTGATCTGAAAATGTAATGACATGGGTCTTCTCTGTATATAAAACAATCTGGGTCAGAAGTGAAAAGATAAGAAAAGTGACTTGCACTTCACCTCTTACTTCAAATCTTACCTTTTTATTCCCTTTGTTTCACAGTATATTCACTCAGCTGGAATCATCCACAGGGTGAGTTCACTCATTGCAGTAAGAATGAACGGAGTGTGTCCCTCTGTGCATCAAGCGTGTTACTAAGACATAGTTATAATATACTTTAAAGGGTTAAAATCATACTTGACTAACTCCTTCTGCTGTGCTACAGGACCTGAAGCCCAGTAACCTAGCTGTAAATGAAGACTGTGAATTGAGGGTAGGTATCATGTTGTAATGAAGAGTGTTGTAAAAGCTCTCAAGAGGAGAGTTTCTGAGAAAACATTAGCTACTGGTTTTATTTCTGGTTCCATTAATTTCAACTGTTTGCGACTCTTGCTGTCTTGGCATAGAAAACCCACTTCCATGAGCACATGTTTTCTCCCAAATGTTAATTTAGTACGAACCCAAGTATCTTCATCCCTGGTTCCTCGCAGATGGTACATAGGCTAATGATTTGGCCCGTGAGTAAATACTGAGTATATTTGAAAGTTTGACCTGTGATATGTATCTGCATCTGCCATGCCTAGATGAAGCCTTGTAACAGCTTTCATTTTTATATTTATAGTATATACAAGCTTAATTAAATAACAATATGGAAACAGATACCAGTATTACCAGTTATGTTACCAGTTACAGGCAAAACCTCAACCAAAAAAACTCTGTAATCCACTCTTCTCAAAAGCTGTTTTAATGTACACAGGTATATAAATACATATCTTCGTGTAGCTGCGTTATATGGCATTATATAATAAGGATGGGACTCTGGAGAAGGAAAAGATGTCTTTAGCTTTCTAATCCTTTAAGCCTAAGAGTGAGAAGTTTATTATTTCTCCATGACAGCCAGAAACATCTTTATCCTTATAACTGAGACTATGATGTAATCACTTTATTCCAGCTGTGAGGGAGTATTTGGAATACAAGAAAAGATTCCAAATACTACAAGATCAGCAAAAAAACACAAGAGTGAATTAAGAGCAGTGCAGTTTGGTCCTCACAGTAATCTGGATCTGTGGTGAGAAATTACAGTTCCTGTTTGGTTTAGTGGCATACACAGATGCTCAGCAATTTTCATGATTATCCCTTTAATGTCTTCATGCATGTATGTTCAGCATCTGTGAAATTTTATGGGTCATCTGGTTCTGATCATGCACTCTAAAATGTGTGCTGTATTTTCATACTGTAAGTGAAGGAGACTTTTAATCTTTTTCGGGGTTTTTCTATTATTATGGTACCTGTGCATCTCCCTGCCTAGCATTTGTTGCGCTGCTCTTTGCCTTATTTGTATTTATAGCTTTATTTCCTCTGATACCAGATTACTTTCTAATAGAAAAAACTAGTGTACAAACAAAAAGAAAACAAAAGCAAGAAGGAAAATGTGTATGTACACATTTGATAGGAGGGATCAGCTATGATAGCTATTAAAGAAAAATATTACTGAAACCCTTATAAAAATAAAGGCAGTAGTGTTTCAGTTTTTATGCCTTGTTTGCCTCATGCTTTTATTTTTGCTTTCTTAAGAAATAAATAATGCTTTTAAAGTATATTAGAAGTAAAGATGTTAATGCATTATTTATTTTTCTTTAGGCTTTTTATATCTTTAAATTGGATTATAACTGATGAATTTTGAATGATAGTCTGAAAGTTTTCTTACTCCCAATGAAAAGGATTAGCCATCAGCTTATCTCATCACAGGAGGTTGCCACTGATCTTCATTCACATTTCTATTTGAAGAGATGCTAACTAGCTCAGATGACTGACTTAACAGCACTGAGGCTCAGATGGTACCCTTTCAGACAGCCTTAGTGTTACGGGTATGTTTTAGCTCCATAATTAGTGGGACACAGACTAATAAAAAAGCAGAAAGCAAAGAAATGAGCAGGAAAAATTTAATTAAAATAACTTCCCATCAATATAAACTTAGCAAAGGAGAGCATATGGAGAGAAACGTTTTGCTACCAACCCTGTGAGTAATATGTGTACCTAAACAGAGCTCCTTTGTTTTTTTGGTGGGGGAGTTCTGCCAAAACCAGATGGTATGTGATTTAAATCTACCTTGTTACACAGGATGTATGTTTCTTTCCCAGCAGCACTGGAATGATGCGTTATTTGGGTAAATGCTTAGACATGAGAGGGAAACAACAGAAATTCTGCAAATTTGTGATCAGCTCATGTGGTCTTTAAATGTTTAAATGGCCAGCGGCACTTGCCATTTTGCACAGCCATTCCCATTGTTAGTGCTTCATTTTTTATAGCAGCAGTGCTGATTTTTAGCAAATAAATGTCAGTGGAAGATTGAATTTGAGGCAAAATGTGAAGTTTGCCTTAGAGGACAAAAGGCCAGGCTCATCGCAGTGGAAGCAACTTTATGCAGACCCGTAGGCTGCAAGAGTGCAGCAGGGAGAGCAGATAATCTCGTCTGCAGAGTGCTGCTGGTTTACTTCACTAATAGCAAGGGGCCATGGATAAACTCAGAAATGAGTAACAGTACCTGTAACAAAAGTGAAAAAGGATTTTTAAAATCATTGTTCATTTTACTGTATTTTTATTCTGTAGATTTTAGACTTTGGTTTAGCTCGACAAACTGATGATGAAATGACTGGATACGTTGCAACAAGATGGTACAGAGCTCCAGAAATCATGTTAAATTGGATGCACTACAATCAGACAGGTAAACTTTGAAGGTGTACATTTTGCTCCAGCTGGATATAGTGATAGTTTTAAACTGAGAGGCAACTCTGTTTAAGAGTCTCTTCAATTCATCATACACATTTCTCTCTCTGTTTTTTGGCAGTTGATATCTGGTCAGTTGGATGCATCATGGCAGAGTTATTGAAAGGGAAGGCCCTGTTTCCTGGAAACGATTGTATCCTTAGCAATAAAACTTCAAATGCAGCTATAACAATACTGTCTAATTTTTGGTTTTTTTTCTAATTACTTCAGTGTTTCTGTGGAAATGTTTTTGAGCTAACAAACTAAAAAAGTAAACTGTTTTTGCTAATCTTTCAGTTTGAAGTATATGAGAGCTGAATATGAGACCCACTGGTAGGAAAAAAACCCATAGTAACAGATGTTCTAAACAATGAGTTACATTTATTCTTTGTTATGTATCTGTATTTAAATAATAACCTAGTTACAACACAGCAAATTTCTTCCACGTGTGTATCTTACTGAAATAACATAACCTTAAAGCTGCAGCTGAGTAAAGGCAGTATTTTTTGATCAGCTGATGTAGTTTCTCAGTACTCTGAAAACCTGCAAAAAGCAAATACTTTTGTTAAAACTAAGCCATTGCCAGGCGCAAAACAACATAACATCAGAATTGCCTGGAAAACTGTTAAGAGAGCTGAGAGACGAGGTCTCCCTGCTTACCTTTCTACTGTGCTCAGCATCATTATGCCTGTATTGTAACCACAGGCATTGTCCAGATGTTCATCATCTGGATGACTGTGCTTCAGACTGATCATATTATTCAGACTGGTATTTGGAAAAATCCATGCATTTAGTTTTCAAGAAATAAGATTATTTTTTTTGCTGTTTAAAAATATTGTCTGCAATTGTATGATTACATCCATTTCAATAAAGCTGTAATATAACCTTGAGTCTATAGGGAGTGTAATACATCTTACATTTAGGGCAATAAAAAATGCTTGGTTTCGAAATTCTAATCTTGACACTGATACAAACCAGATTTTTAAAGCTACCAGATGAGAATTTGCCACTTGCCAGCCCTCAGATTAGTAATCTAGCCCTATCGTGCTATATTGTGTTAGACTGATCTTCAGCACAGGTATCTGAAACATATATGTGCTATTAAAATTAAGCTTAAGAATATGCTAAATTGGGAACTAGAACAGGAAGGCAATATCTTGCACGTACCTTTCTCATGTACAGGCACACGTGAAGGATTCATATAATGCAGTAAAGAATGATACTCCAGGACTAGGCTTAAGTAGGTATGAATTGGTGTCCTTGCATGGACTAGGATGGAATTGTCTCACTGAAAGCTTTAAACAAGTATCTGCATAAAAGGTCATTAATTGTTTAAACCCAGAGGGACCATGTGCTGTTTATTTCCCTGAAATACTGCAGATATTGATCAACTAAAGAGAATAATGGAAGTTGTGGGCACACCCAGTTCTGAACTTCTGAAAAAGATCTCATCAGAACATGTGAGTTCAGTTATCTGGCTTTCTAGCATTCTTTTCTCTAATTGACATCATGTATCACTGATGGCGTTACACAGATCCTCTGATTTGGAAATGAGCAAACACGAAAATTATCTCATTGCTGCTAGAATGCCACGATTAAAAGAATCCCATTCTTTTTAGAGGTATCCAAATGCCTCGACTCTCAGCTGGATTACTTTAGATACTTGTTCTCATGTGCTCAGTGTTTGAAAGGAGTTTTGCAATTGGTCCTGGTGAACTTTTAGTTTGCTGCTATACTTGTAATTAAAAAAAATAAAAATCAATTTTCTTCTCAGCTCAGAGCATTATATTGTTATTAAATCTGATGTCTCTGTAACTTTTATGCTTTCCATTGCTGTAAAGGATCTAAATAGGAATATTTAGGAATATTGGAATCAAATAACGTGTTTATGTTCTTCATGAGTGCACTTATTTGGATCCCTAATTTGATTTGTATTTATTCATTTCTCTGAATCTCCTGTGAGGTCCACTTTCATGTTAACATCTATAGCTAACGGTGTGATTTTTAACTCTCCATATGCCTTCTTTAAAATAATAATCTGGTAAATGAACATTTTCCACTCCGTTTCTCTGCTAAAGCTATACTTAGAGAATTCACTTTATGCAATAACTGTGGATATCCAGCTGAGGAATGAGATGTGGTATTGATTGATAAAGGCAAGTGATGGGCACAGTGTAAAAAGTCAGATAAAAACAGCAGCACACAGATACCTTCTCACTGAAGTTGTTTTCTTAAACCTTTCTGCATACAGCTCACACTAATACAAATGGCTGGTTTTCAGCTTGTGTGTATATTCGTGGGTTTCCTTTGAACTTGCTAATGAATGCACTAATGGATTAAATAATCAGGACCAGCAGGAGAACCAGAGCAACGCTATGTCTGGAAAGTCCAAGGGAAACAAAACCTCACCAGCGCAGATCAACACACAACCCCAGAGTCTGTGGGTAGGCAGCACCTGGGAATGGCTGGGGCAGAAGAAGATCCTATCTTTTTTCCAGTAACATGTTCTGAGTGGTGCATACAGCTGTGTGATTTACCCACCACTAGTCAGTTTCTGGTTTTTTTGATAAAGCAGCTTAAATATTTACTGGAGATAGTGTCTGCTTTTGGTGAGCTACGGGAATCCCAGAGCTGTTTTACTGGGGCTAATTTATACCTTTAGAGTGTGGGGAGAACACAGAAACCAAGTTAACGAATGGGAGTGCTGCTAGGTCACCTCTGGGCTGCTCCTGCCTCCTTAGAGGAGCAGTGTCAAAGGAGATATATACCTTGCTTGGAGGTACTTGCCTCTTGCAAGGAAGTGTATTCTGTTCTTTTGTTCTAGTTCTTTACCACCTATTTTAGTCTTATTGCTTAGATATTTCTTAATGCAGCTTCCCATCCCAGACATTTTTTTCCATTCCTGTAACAGCAAGTTCAGAGATTTTGTGTAATGCCAAGCCTATTTTCAGTCATAGTAGAGGATTAGAGAATTGAAAACTATAAGATCAACCTCATGGGATGTTTCAGCACAAGTTACTGAGCTGTTTTGTCAGTTTTTCATGTTAATGTGGGTTTAAATGGTGATTGCATTTCACTGTTTTTTTTTTTTTTTAAGGATTAAGTTTTGTTAAAAGACTAGCTGGGATTTTTATAGATTTGGGGACAGCCATTTGCCTCTTTAACTGTTCCATTTCAGAATTCCCTGTTCTGTCTGATCCCAGCATTCAACCTTTCCTCTTGCTGACCTGTCTACCACAGCCCAGAGATCCATGGCTTGTGTAATGTCAGGCTCCACACTGACGTTTGTGTGTCTGCTTTGTGGATAGGCTTTTCCTAGCTGAGTTTGGATGAGCCTTTCACAACCACAGTTGACAAAGCACACTATAAATTGTGTTAAACATCTGAAGATCTGTGTCCTGGGAGTGTCAGGATTTGGTTACTGAAGCTGCTGTTTGACAGAGGAGAGAGAGAAGAGAAGGGTGCAGATTGGATTATATCACTTTGCTGAGGGTAACTGAAAGATGAGTTAGGTTGCAGTTTGTGGATGAACCTTACAGGGAGCCTTATGTGTTGCCTGGGGTTATATTGCAGTGAGCCAGTAAGGGCAGGTGAAAAGATAAGTGCTAACACAAATACACACACAGTGTGAAAGATGGCTGTTTAAAACTCTCTTGCTTATTGTGCAATATAAAGGGCTGACTGTTTAAAACGAAGTCATATGTTATGGTTTTATGTAAACAAGGATTCCCATATAAGAAACATCCTAAAAATTACATCTGTTATTTTAGAGTTGATATGGTTACTGCTGAGCAAAATCTAACATCTGTGCATGTGGTTTGTATATCAATCTGTTCCTAGGCAAGAAAATACATTGAATCTCTTCCACATATGCCTCAACAGGATTTAAAGGCAGTATTTCGTGGTGCCAATCCATTAGGTAAGAAAGACTGATATAAACTAAATCTTTCACTAACATAAGAACTCAAGCCTTCCTTTGTTATACGATCCCATATAGTAATGATCAGGCCAGTGAGAAGAGCATTGCTTATTAACCTTTCATCCCGAGACTGTTTTCTTTTCATGAAGCCTGTGTCTTTTGTTTCTGGTGGAGATTACGGGAACCTCCTAAACAAAACCAGTCTGTGGATGAAAAGCAAAAGCCAGTTACATATAGCAGGAATAAATAAAAATACCATGGAGTCTAGACTGGAGACATCACTTCTGGCTCAGGAAGGCCATGAGCTGAATTGCTGACAAACAGAAGAATATACCGGGAAGTATAGCTGTTTGAATGACCCTTTTGAGTATTATTTCCTAGGAATACATTACACATTGTTGGACACAGGATACGAGGCTAGGCAGGCTTTTGGTCTGATTCTGTGCAATTGTTTTTATACATACTACATATTAAGGCAAATTCATGACAGTGCTTATATGAAAGCACTAAAAATCATTTTTATGTAATATTTAAGTACTAATTACGAACTTCCTATATAAACCAAATTTTGGCCTTACAGATTTCTCTCATTTCTATTATTCTGCAACTGTCAACTTCAAACATATTTGCTTTATGATGGATCCTGTAAAGTTGCTTTGGGGTTTTCATCTGATTTCATTGTTGCAGCTTATTAAAAGTGTAATCTCAGAATCACAGTTTTAAGTTACTTAAGTTTGTACTGATCAGGGTCAAGTTAAGCACATGATGCACAGCACAGGATATCTAACTTTAAGCACACAGAGATCTTTTCAGAATTAAGGCCTTGGATGTTTGAAGAGCTGAATCAGATATCAAACGGACTATAATGAACCTTTGTGCATACCACAAGCAAATCAGAAGCTTCCTTCACCTCTGAAAATTGTACTCATGGTATAACATCTTCAAAACTTATTTGTTACATTGCCTAAATTTTATGGGTTTGCTGGTAATGTTAACTGTGTTTCAGGTGAGTGAGAATAGATTGTCTGTGCACAGTTGCCTTCTCTTTTATTTCCAGATGGTCTCTTCTGGCTTCAAACCATGTTTCTCTTTTTCCCTTAGCTGTAGATCTTCTTGAGAAGATGCTTATATTAGATAGCGATAAGAGAATTACTGCCTCAGAAGCACTTGCCCATCCATACTTTGTACAGTATCATGATCCAGATGATGAACCTGAGGCTGAAGTGTATGATGAGTCAATAGAGAATAAGGAGAGAAACATAGATGAATGGAAAGGTAACAGGTTTACATGTCAGTTAATGCATGCAGTAGAACAAAACCTTACTTAAATAACAGTTTGCTCTGCTTCTAACCAAAGCAATTTGAATTCTTAAGCCTCAGGGTAAAAAAAGATAAATCCATGTGTGCTTGTGGGAGGGGAGAGGTGGAAAGGGTTGTTTTTCTGGATTTTACTCCCTCCCTTTCTCTCCCACCTTCTATCATCTCCTCACTAGGGTCCCCATAGCAGGTTTAAGCTTAACTAAAAGCTGATGTTAGTTACCAGGTCACCATATATGCTGTCTTGCTTTTAGTTTCTTGATCGGATCTTCAGCTGAAGTGTCCTAGGGCAAGTGGCACTATTTGAGATTCTGGTCTAGCTTTGTTGAGAACCAGAAATTATTATTTTCCATGTAGAAATGTATTTTGTTGATCATTCGTTAGATAGACAGGTAGTTGGGATTAATAGATAAACCATGCTATTGATCCTGTTTGAGATAAAAATTGATTTTACTTGACAATGTCATCCCCAAACCCATCCTTGAGAAATACAGCAACAACCTTCTTTTATTAGTTAATTCCATGCTTGTATCATGATCATATTGCACTACAGTATCACAGAAGTAAGGTGGCTAAACATTAAATTTGCAAGTGCCCTGAAAAGTACAGTTCAATTTCATCATTGTCTAATGAGGACATATTATGCTAAAAATTCCTTACTCGACAGTTTAAATTGAGAGTAATGTTCTAGAAAACTAATAGTTTGTGTTTATCAATAAAGTCCTTTCATCGGCTTAAGATGAAGTATGTGCTCTATAAAATAAATGTTCTTCTGTTTCTAGTTGTATATTCTGTAGCTTTTACTCCAGAAAGGTTTGATAAAAATGTGTTAGTATAGTGGGTAGGTTTCTCATGAAAAATGCTGACCTCCCATGTCTCACACCCTTCCATTTGTACCATGTTTTATCCTGGGCATTGCAGGACAGACAAGCAGGCTAACTACAGCAAATACATCTTAAAGAAAGATAGAAGCGAGGTCATGGGTCTCTACAATAAAGCAACCTGCTAGAGCCCTGAAAAGGGTTTCCTAGAAGCTTACTGTGTCTGTACAAAGAAGAAGGATTGGCTGGTATCACTTATTCCTTACACATGCTCTCCTCTGCTCTGCAAAACCTGGCAGCATACAGCACTGCCCATACATCTTGTTTATTGAGAGGCATGTTCAGTTTGCTGCTGTACTTACAAATGGGTGATTTGTTTTCTGCTACTCTTTCAGTTGACTGAGTCTTTAACAGGAAAGTTTAACAATTTCCGAGTCATGCAGCTGATTTCTGTTTGTGACGAAACTCCGCTGAAATTATTTCAGGAACAATTTCAGCTTAACACTTCATGAACCAAACTGAGCATGCGGAGGTGAATTCCCTAGGAAGGACAGTATCATATTTTTCTACAGCACTGTCCTAGCTGGAAATACAGGTCAAATTCTTCCTTTATACGGGGGGCAGGGGGGGGAGGCCTGAAGCAAAAATCTCCATACTGGCACAGGACGTGCAGCTCTTCCTCTTGGCCATATTTTATCTTCAAGCCACATTTGATTTTCAAGCAGAGTATGTGCCGCGTTTAAGTAAGATGATGTGAAAGGCGACCATCTGCATAAATGTTTGTATTATTGATGAAATAATGACCCAGTTTCTCAAGATGTCCGTTTTTCCTCTTTTTTCTTCAAATTAAACGTCAGTGGCACTTGATCCCAAGAGGGACTGAGCCCCAAAGCAAAATGAGATTTCAGATACTTGGTCTTACACGTGATGATGCAGTTAAGAGATTCTCTGGCCTCCACTGCACACTGCTGAGGCTTGCAGCCCAAGCTCATAGATTTCTTTCTGCCATGTTTAATCAGTTAGAAAATATTTCACATTTTAGAGGCTGGGAGTAAGATATTCAGAGTTGAATGCTGTGCACTGTCTCTTTAGCTGTTGCTCCAGTTGCACGTATCTCAGTGTAGCATCTGTACTCTCTGCTGAGTAGGTGGCACAAGAATCGGGTAAGGAGCTTCATAAATATACAGTGCACAGCCAGCAAGAGTAATTTCTAATACAGTTCCATGGGTCTGATTTGTGAGGTCGCTGGCTTCCTCTGAGCTCAGTCAGGACCACTCTAGCTCCTGCTGGCTGCCTGTGACCAAATGCTATTTAATAGCTGCAAGTCAGTCACTGAAAGAGTCACCTCATGAATCCTTCCACCTCAGGGGCTCTGCACACAGGATTTCTTTCAGAGAAATCTTCCACTGTAGCTAGCACGCTGGTCACCATGCACAGGACTACAGCATAACAGAACCAGAGCATAAGCAACATTTCAGTCTTAGATTTTTACATGCTTTTTAGAGTGCTAGGTCCATTTGCAGGTATAGCAGCTGGTTTAGATCTGTTTAATAAACAAGCTAATAGGCATTAGTTTGATATTTAAACATTGCTGTTTGGAAAACAGAACCTGGAGTAAGGCATTGTTAGCCATATATTTATGCATGAACAGGATTTGGTCCTTAAAATACAGTATCTAAGTAGAGAAATTACATAGGAGGTAGCTGCTGGTGACACACTCCATTACTGTGCAAGGCGCAAAACAGTACATGACTGCCAGCATGAAAAGATGAAGGGCTATTCCTAAAGCAGGATAAAATGGCAGAGGATCCATGCATTCTAGCTAAGCTCTTGATGAAAATAGGATTGTTACATGCTTCTGGGACAAAATACTCTTTCTTTCAGAGGACCTCAAAATTAAGTTAGTCACAATAAAACATAAAAAAAACTGCAAAACCTAGATCCTAAGGCATTAGCACAGAATTGCAAATGATTTATGTTGAAGGCAATTGACTGGAGATGATAAAGAACATTCTCTGCAGTTAAAAGTGTACATTTTACAACCTGTTCGGGTGCTTTTAAAGCTTCCATTTCCCATTGCATTTTGTCTTTTATTACGTCATTTTGGCAGGTCATCTGACAGCACAATTGATGTTTCCATTTCAGGGCCTGTGTTTTAGTAATTAGCTGAAGGGGAAAGACATGTTGTACAATAACAGTATTTGTGGGTCTAATTTGTAACTGAGGTTAACAGAAGGATTCCTAGTGAATTTATTCTGGTTTTGGATCCCACCTCTAAAAAGGCTGGAAATACAAACTACAAATCACATGTATCCATAGAACTGTTTTGTCTGGAATATTTTTCTTTTGGGGAGGATATCACCTAATTCTCTCCTTCACATCCTCTCTGCAGAACTTACCTATGAAGAAGTGATCAGCTTTAAACCCCCTGACTTAAAAATGGATAGCCTGGAGATAGAACAGTGAATACAGGCAGCTCCGTTTTGCCTTGATGCACTATGAAGACTGTTAAAATATAACCATACAATTTCACCTGTGGTCAGACATAGATTCTGCTATCCAAAGATGTTGGAGAAGATGTGGAAAAGCAGATGCATTACATACAGAAGCCAGATGTTGTCTGGCTTGGGTGGGGGTTTTCTGCCTTGTAATAAGAATGTATTCCCAACTCACAAAGGGTGACAAAGAACTACTTCATTCTGACAAAATTATGCACTGAGTTCTGTCGAGCTGTGTTCTGCATGTTCCATTTTATCAATTGTATTGCCAAAATAAAGGTGACTTTTTGAATTAATTTTAAAATTGTACATTTAAAGCATGAATGTATCAAACATAAGCATAGATGTTCATACAAGCAGTCCTTTTTTCTTCTGGCATTTCATCTGTTTTCCTATTATTTATAGTTAGTGCCTTTATGAAGGGAGGGCGTGGTAGCGAGATAGACGCAGTATGCATATGTAGCCATATCTGTGGTGGTCTTACGAATTTACTGGATGTCTCTCAAGCAATCTTAACACCAGTTGAAAGTCAGTAAAAATAAATCTTTGTCTTCTGTTGCCATCCAAGGGTCTGTGCTCATTCTTTTCCTCATGTGTATTCTTTAATCCACGCAAGACGTGTTTGTGAGACGATTTTATTCCCTGATGGTATTCCAGCCGTGCCATCGGTGGAGTGCAGGTGGATCTGCCCAGCTCTACAGTAAGGTACCCTGAAGGCAATGTGGCAGATCTCTGTGGTCTTCTGCAAGTTTCAACAAAGGCTGTCACAGGTGGAAGTGCAAGAGTACTCAGTTCAGTTCACGGCTTTGAATTCAGTGTTTCTCATTGTCTTACTTTCCTTCACCTAATCCTTGGGAAAAATAATGTAATAATTGCCATTGGAAGACATGACAACAAAAGAGAATTTCAGTTTTCTTTTGTGAAAAACAAAATATCCATCTCATCAGCTTCTTTTTATGAAAAATTTTAAGGGCTTTCCAGCTCTGAAAAGTTGGGAAATTACGTAATAAATTGTAGGATAAACCAGATACTGAGATTCTGTAAAGCACTGCATTTATCTGATTTCCCCATTGAAGGCATAATACTGGAACAGGAATATCCTTTGACATGAGGCCACTTGTGGTGTACTGGCTGTGTCCTACGTACTTGTGTTTCACAGTTGTTCAATATTGTTCATTTTTGTCTTGTTCTTGCTCTGTCAGTCTCATTTTGGAGGTGGCTTTTTTATAGTTAGGTTTTCTTCAACTGCTGGCATTAAGATTCAGTTGTACAGCCGTTACATGAATTCTGCTGCATTTATTTACCTTCCTCTGTATCTTTTCTATGTAAAAGGGAAACTTTTTCTTAATAAACAGATTTAAAAAAAAATGGAGTCCAAGAACTTTGATTTTTTAGAGGTATTTGACACAGGATCAATTGTCTCCTTTGAGAAATAGAAATAAGCATTGCCTTTCTGCAAAGCTGGGTGAGGCCTGTAATGACCTTGCAACAACTGAATTTCATGCTGACTGAAACAGGTGAAAAGGTTATAAATCTTTAACTTACTTCCCTGGCTACATAATGAAATTAATCACTTAATCATGTCTTAAATATGTATTTGTCATTTGTTTGCTTACCAGTTAGTAGAACAGTGCTTTATTTTCTCTGAATTCTGATGATGAGCATGCCAGCCTGCTCTGTAGCTCTATTCCAGCTGGAAGGGCAAGCATGAAATAAAGAGATTTCACAAAAGCCTCCTGCATCCAATGATAATTAATTTAGTGTGGGATTTGTCCCATCATTTGTTTAATCTGGTTTCCTGGCTATGAGGGTGGCCGTCACCACATGTTTCAAAGGATGTGTAAAACTCTGTGGTAGGCGAAGACCAGATGGTCTGCTCTTGCCATGGCTCTGCTACTTGAGGTGGAAAGAAAGTTTTATATCAGCTCCAAAATGTGTTACGGCAACTCTGAATCCTGCTCTGAATATTTCCTTTTGCATTCAAAGATGCAGCTTTTCTAAATAAAGGTGATAAATTATGTAGGAAGAATACGGTCATAGCCACAGTCAAGCTAATCAAAGGTGACAGTAGTGGCTAACAAAAACTCAGCTATTTTTAATTAAATGCCATCAAACCCCATAAATCATCTAATTTTAATGTCAAGAAAGGCAGCAGGGAGAGAGACATCTTTTTCCTGGATTTTCAAAATGGAGGCAATTTCTTAGACCTCAAAAGCCACTAATTCAAGTATTTTCCTAGAGCATGTAAGCAGCTCCTGCATGGTCCTTTAATGCAGGACTGCAATGTGGTAATGCTATCAGTTTGCAGCAGCAGGACAGGGTAATTGGAAAGCTAGTACCCCACTGGGACAGAAAGGTGGAAGGCTTAGCACTAACAATGCTTATCATTGGAACACAGATGGAAAAACCCCATTTGTCAATCAACACAAACAGGAGAACAGGGGTAAGCAGCTGGGAGTGAGGGCTTTGTCAGGCTCGGTGAACCTGTAGGGCAGATTGCTTAAAAGTAGATTTTACAGAGTAAAAATATAAAAATGAGAATTTTAATTGTAGAAAATAATATTTTCTAAAAATGTCTGTAATGATGGCATTGTTTAGGTGGCCAAGATTTTACTTGCAAAACTCATACTGGAGCCCGCTTAAACTGTAGGGTTTTAATCTCTGACACCACTCTTACCCTCATTATTACCATCGTGCTTTTGTAGGTACTCCACACAGTGCGTGTACGTTTGAGGAGAGCAGGTTTTAGTCCTGTTCTCCTCAAACAGGTTTTAGCCCACACTAAATCAGGGTGTTTATCATCCCTGAACACCTGTGAAGCACAGAAGGGATGCTCACAGGAGCAGAGCTGGGCAGCGCTAGAGGAGGAGGTGACTCTGGGGAGGAATACAGCTCTGCAAGGGCTTGCTCTGGTTAATTGCTCTCATTGTTAGCAATTTACTTCTAATCTAAATTTACCTAATTCCAGCTTTCTGTCCCAAGGGTTTGTTGTCCCTCCACCTACTGAATAGAAATCACTTCCAGTATTTGTTGTCTCGCTCTATAATCAGTGTTATGTGCAACCCCAAGTACAGTAATTTTATCATCACTGGAAGCAGAAGGTCTCACAAAAGGGAAGTCTTTTGCATACATCTCAATCTTTTGAGAAGCATAAGTATACACTGTGCTTCTTTTAAAATCTGCATTTTCTTAAGCTCTCTACCTCATCAGCGCTGAAGCAGGAAGTTGAAATGCCACAACCAAAGCAGAAAGAAAGACAAGAGTAAAGAAATCTCTAATTTATAATGTACTTATGGAACAAAAAAACCCCAAGGATGGTTCAGAATAAAAGCACAGCGTCAGAGGGTATGATGTGCCATACACAGAATTCCTTCCTCCCAGAACACACAAAGTGGCTACCCAAGTATAAAACAACAGGGATGCTAATAATTTGGGGAATTTATAGGGGGGAAATAATAGCAAATTAGGTAATCAACACTGATACATGAAAAAATCTATCATGCTCCAGTAGGTCAAGAGCCATTAATTAGACAGCATTGTTGAAGAATTCCCATTAGTGCTCTTGGCATGTTTTTGATGTGGTGCAAAGATGAAAGCAAGAGGGAAGGAGGGTCAGTGCACTGCAGGATCTGAAACAGAGAGCTAACCCTGGGGACGGGGGGGGGAACAACCCTTTCAAGGGCAAAACAGTGACAGCAAAAACACTCTGACAGAGGTGGTGAGGAGTCAATACAAAAGCCACTTCCTTCCTTTCTTCCTGTCACATGTTCTCCTGGATCGTAACAAGAAAGCAGACCTCCACCTTCCTGACCCTGGAGACCTGGTCAAAGATGACTCTGTTCAAAAAGCACCACATTCAGTTGCAGGCACAAATTACTGAAGTATTCTTTGCTACATTTACAATGTACATTGCTCCCTTGGCCCAAGTACCCCTGACAGATGAGCTGTGGTAAAGATTTAAGTCTCACGTTGTAAATTGGGTAAGTGATGTCCTTTGGCAGCAGAAGAAATGAATTCAGCCTTGGCAAGATCAGTCTTCTTAGGAAGAAATTAATAGCAACACCTCTGTTTTAAAAGCAGCCGCTTGTTTCCCTTTAAGTGTGAATTGTGCTGCTAGTGTTCATGGATAGAGCACGACTCTCTAAAGCAGGTCCTCAGAAAATCAACACATTTGCACAAGTGAGAGCACCAAGTGTCATTAATTTATGAGACTAGGCAAAAAGCAGAAAGGGCTTTTAAGGGATTAGTACCAAGAGCCCCAGAAAGCTGTGCCAGCGTAGCTGCCACTGACCTGCTGCTGCAAGATGAAGTATTGAACTGATATGCCTAAAAGGGTCTAAGTTTTTGCTAAAAGGAGGGAATATGTTGTGAGTTCCCTGTGCAAACACTGATCTTCCAACCAATCTGACACTTAATCCATTACACAGGAAATGTCTACATAATGAGCGAAACTGTTCAATTAGGCTTCAATCTTGCATGCATTGAAATGCTTCATTTCACATTTACATAGTCCCCCAGCTTCAATTATAGTCACAAATTAAGACATGCACCATAGCACAGAGATTTTAGCCAGTCCTTTTAGGTTCCAATTTGATCACAAGCAACACTGATCACTATTGAAATACCAAATCCCAGTGGTAGCCCTGAGACAAATACACAACAAATCTGCTGTAATTGGCAGCCTCCACTGAGCCATACTCTGATCCTTATAGAGTAATATCATGTAGATTAGCAGTAAGATAATATATTCATATTTCATACTCATTTTATAATAGAGTTCAAAGGCTCAAGTCAAGAATAAAGCCTAGTTACTTTATGTTCTGTGTAAAATGACACACCATACTCCTGTCCTGTCCAGCTCTCTCAAGATGGAAATGCAACAATTGAAGGCAACGTTAAGGAGGATGGGAAGGATGGAATTAGAGTACCATCAAGTTTTTGGTGATTTAAATGGGTGATACGCATAACTACATAGTGACAAATAAGAAAAGCTGTCAATCAGTGATAATTCACTAACACTCCTTTTGTATGATTTTTGCACTGAAGTTGGGAAACTCTTCAACACAAGTCTAGTTCTATCTGTGCACAGTAGCATCTCAGACTGCAGTAATCTGTGGTAGTTTAAAAACTAAACTCCTGCAGTGTATTGTAGGAATTAGTATGAAGATGACCTTCAGGCAGGCTCTGAGAAGAAAAGAGTTAGGAGAGTGTTAAAAGCTGCTGGTTTATACATAGCCTCTCTTCCTCCACCAATTCCAGCAAGCAGGAGTAATGGGGAAGTGAATAGTTACTTGGTAAGATCACACTCGACCTCTTGAACAAATGAAGTGGACAGTTTACAGAATAATTACTCTTTTTTGAAGCACCACTTAGGTGGTGCCTGCTCATTCCTTCCTGCTGCTGGTCAAGTGCTCCCACGGCATGGCAAGGTGCCCGGGGTGCTCCGTGTCACAGCGACTGGAACTGAAGCATCCTGCGCAAGGGGCAGAGAGACAAACAGAGAAGTTGCAGAATAGTTGGCAGCGGCTCCAGTGGGGAAGGGTGGGGACAGCACAGCATGGGAGTATTTCAGATGAAAACTAAGGTTTAATTTAAGCTTTACTTCTTGTAATAAATAAAATGGACTTACTTCCTCCGCAGCAACCCATCTAAGCAGACAAGGTCAGAGCATTGTTTGAATGTGGGGATATAGAAAGCTGGTTAAAAAAAATAACATTATAAGAACTAGCTTTTGACAATTCAGCAGGACTTTGTTGACATGTAAGGTATGTTTTACAGAACTAAATCGTTCATAAATGAATTAGTGTAACAGGAATAAAATGACTGTGTGAAAAGACATCTTACTGAGATGAACAGGCAGAATGGTGGGAAGATGCTTAATTTTTCCAAGCATTTTGTATGATCTCCTGCTTTCTCCCAGTCAAATCCACATTGCCTGTGCCTGGACTCAGGATCAAGGTCCCAGTCCCCCTCCCTGCTCATGCAGATGCCCCTCCTTTGCCCTGCAGTATGGCTCCTGGCAAACTAAGCTGTGCCACTTTATCACTGCTAATCTAGTTTGCTGTGAGCAGCGTTGCCATCAAACTCCCTCACCAGACTCCATACACACGGAATTTCTCAGGAAAATGTGGTTAGCTTTCTTACTGCTCTCTTGTGGACCTCCTGCTCCAGCACCGAAGCCTCACATCCAGGCTGGAGTGTGAACTGAGCCCCTGGAGGGATTAGAAAGGGTACTGCATGCACCCCATCCTCCTCATGTGCTTTGCAGCTGATGGCAACCTTCCAACACATTGAAAGATGGCCCTTAAAGAGCCCAACAAAGGTATCAAAATGAATGTTTCTACCTGAAATCAACCTTGCCAAGCTTCCCTTTATGGGATGGGCATAGGAAAGTGGTATTTTGTATCACTAATACATTTACTATCTTTCATTCATGATCTCTGCAGAAGGTCCCTTTTGTTCTGTCAACTTCAAAATAAACATATGCCAAAAGCAAAAACGTCTGACAGCATTGCTTTTATAATTTACCCTGTCAAGCACACAATGCTTGGGATTAGATACAGCCACAGTATCCTGTAACTATCATTGCAACAGGTTGTCTTGGGAAAACACATCAGCCTGTATCCGGCCGAGCCTAGCAGGATGCTAAAGCTCATTCCTTTTGTGGTGGTGCTGTGAGATCTATCAGCTGTGGGTGGATCCAGGTTTCTCAGCTCACTCCCTTCATAGACAATTTCAATGGTTTTATTAGACAAAGCTTCCCTTGTTACAGCAGTGCAGATTTCCTAACCTTTTCATTATCAGTTCGTCTGCTGTATTTGTGACCTGATAGGGAAAGGTGGTCTTCTATTTGATCTACACTGCTACCTCATCCTTCTATAGCAAAGAAAATTTAAACACTCTTATGAAGAAAAAACATGGGAAAATCAGCACTGGCCAACTTTGTCAACGCATTTAAAGTATCTTACAGAAGTTGCTCTGTAGTAGCCTCAGCTTCTGCGCAAGGGTGATGTTGTCTTGGTGCTGGGTTAGTACTTTCACCTACTGTATCAAAATCAGCTACTTTCTGCCCCATAAAAAGCAAGCAGTAAGAAAGCATCAGTTTGCCACAACTGGACAAAGTAGGTGAGAGATCAAAAGCAGAACTAATGCTTAGTGCATTAGAAACAGATATATTTCTCATTAAAAGTAATTTAACCAATGGACTGGCTCAAAACTGAGTGGAAGCCACTCTATCCTTCGCCTTGCCCGTACCACGTTTTGCTTCAGCCATCGTCTGAGTGGCAAACACAGCATAAAAGAGATGCCATAAATTTCAAACAAAAAATCTGCTGGGGCAGTGGATTTTAAGAGCACAAGTGTGCCATTAACCTATCACCTGACATGAGTCCTGCACCACCAGCCGAACGTCGTGAGGTTACTTTCCATTCTTGCTAAGCTATGGAGCAGCCCTGGAACACAGCTGTGGGGTGTTCCCTGTTCCTCCTGTACCCCACACGTAAACACCATGAGAACGGAGGGCAGGGCAGCTCTTCGACATTCAGCAGCCAGGCACAAAATGGTTTGGGCCCATAGCAACTACCTTAAAGGCATCAGGCACAACGAAACTTGGCCAGATTGCCTCTTTTGAGCTAAGCCACAAATTGAACCGTAGTGACAGCAGGTCTGAATTATCTAACCTCAGCAACATTGCTCAGGGGTGAAGTCAGACAAAACAAAGGCTTTACCAGGCCCTGAAGGACAAGAACTTTAATTACATTCACACGGAGAACACACACACAACATTTTTCAAAGCAGGGCTTTGCTTTACATGTGCCGGCCCAGGCCTGTTTACTGCAGGGGTACCGCGGAGGTGGCTGTCCTCAGTACTCCAGCATCGCAGTTGTTCCAGGCTGCTTGAACTGCTTGGTGTTGCAGGAACCATGCACGGGACTGCCTGCTCTGAGCAACTGGATCCAGTGTGTGCTTGTTCCCATGTAATTAGATGAAATACCGTTGAAACTTGGGGGCTGACCCCAGGATGAACCGGGAAGCCCTCAGCTGCACGCCTTCGTGCAAAGGTCACCTGAAAGCCCTCCTTTGTACTCCCAGCCCTCACCACCGACAGCCCCGTCCTTTGGTTAACACTGCCATTAACACCCGGTTTATCTTATCGGACCCAGAGCCAGGTTCCACACCGCGGCGTGCACCCGTGCGGAGCAGGGCGGGCACAGGACGGCTTCCAGCTCTACGGCAAAGGGCGGGGGGGGCGGCGGGAGCCTCGGCACCTGCTCCCCCGCCGGGACTCGCTGTGCTGTCCCCAGGGCGCTGCGGTCGGGCCCGGCCTCGGAACAGCTCCAGGTGCCGGGGCCCAGTGGGTGGGACCGCGGGCCCCGGCCCCTCTGGGCAGCTGTGAGGCGGGCGGGCGGGCCGCCCGGCGAGGCTGGAGGAGGTGCCGTTCGCTCAAGCCCGGCCCCTCGCCCCAGCCCGGCTCGGCGGCGCTGGCCGCTCCCGTGCCCCCCCCCCGCCCCGGCTGTTTGTCGGCGGGGGGCCGCGGCGCCATGTCCTCCCCCAAGAACGGCTTCTACCGGCAGGAGGTCACCAAGACCCTGTGGGAAGTGCGGGACTGCTACCGGGACCTGCAGCCGGTGGGCTCCGGCGCCTACGGAGCCGTCTGGTGAGCGCGGCGGGACGGGGCGGGACACCCGGGCGGGGTGAAGGGGCGGCGGGCGCCGCGGTGGCCTCTGCCCGGGGGGACGCTGGTCCCGTCCCGCCGCTGCCCTGGCTCGCGTTGTTCCCTGACAACTTTCCCGGTTGTTGCTCCTGGCCCGGCCCCGCTGCCCACCTGGCTGCCCCCAGCCGGTCCGGGCAGCGCCGCCGGGGGAGCGCAGCCCTGCGCGGGGCAGCCGGCTGCGGACCGCTGCCCGGCACACGGCTCCTGTACCGGAGCAAGCAGAGCCCGGGGCGCTGCTCTGCCCTGCCCGAGTAGTGCTGCCCGCGGGGTGGGGCCCCGCCGAACACAGCGTCCCCAGAGCCCGGGGTGCGGGTCCTTGGAACGGGACACGAGGACTGGGTTTGTGTGGGTGCTGGGTCTGTGGAGTTTGCGGGTTTTCAACTTTTCTTTCCCTTCTGCTTTTTTTTTTTTTTTTCTCCCCAGATGTTCCTCTTTAAAGCCTTTGAAAATTGGCTACTTTTCATCGCAGGGCCTGGCAGCCTCTTAAACGAATGAAACTATAGATGCAGGATGCTGCAGGCACGGTGGTCCTCTCACTGGGCCAGGGAGGCTGCACAGGCACCTGGCCGAGTGCTGGGCAGCGGGGGCAGGATGCGGCCTCGTTTCAACCCTTGCTCACGAAGCTCTTCCTTTTCCCTTTAAAGCTCAGCCGTGGATGGAAGAAGTGGTACCAAAGTGGCCATTAAGAAGTTGTACCGCCCATTTCAGTCTGAACTCTTTGCCAAACGCGCCTACCGAGAGCTGCGCCTCCTGAAACACATGAAACACGAAAACGTGAGTTGGGTCGTTAGCAGATATTTCCCCTCAGGGCTGTGGCTTACTCTTCCTAAAAACAAAATATGTGTATTTGGACAAGACAGATGTGTAGCTGAATGGAATTCAGGAATCTTTTGGCCTGTCTTTTGTCTGTACTTTATCTGCAAACATCAGCTCACACGAACTAGAATATCCTGTGGGAAACACCACTTCATTTCTATGTGGGAAAGACTGGGTGGGGAAAGTGAGGACCACGGTGGGATTTGTTCTCAGAGCCATTGCTAGAGATATGAAGGACCAGAAATTATGATCTCCATCACTGTGTTCCTGTGAGGTGTAGGAGAGTGCAGAGCATGGGGCACTGCCTGTGGGTCTCTAGTGCCAGCACCTCTTTTTGCACATGGCTATGGCATATGCGTATATCTTTGGGAAGGGGTAGGGCTTTCCCCTTTTTAACAATTAGTGAAGCATTTGGAAGTTTTGGCTCGTACTAATGTGACACAGGAAAACTTCATGAATGACCAAATAAATTGCTTTACTGGGCAGTGGAGAATAGGATACAGAGCTCTGCACAGATTCCCACGTAATGTGATAGAACAGCTGTAGAGAGAAGTGTTGAAAGTGTCATTGAGATACAGATGCTGAGTCCCAACAGTGCTGAGTGGTTTAAGAAAAAAAATAAAGGAGAGGTTTGTGTGAAAACAGCTTTTGTGGAATCAACATGGATACCAGGAGAGAAAGGTCCTAGGGTGGGCTTGGAAGATCCTAGATCCCAGTAGTGGCTGTAAATGCTCCTCATGAAGAATGCATGTGGAAGAAAAGAGAGTTTCGATTGAGTTCTTAAAATGATGCATAAAAATCCGGTTTAAAATGTTAATAATTTGGGATATTACACATAGCTCCATTCAGATGGTCTTCAATGGCTAGGAGATTGGAAGTGAGGATGAGAGAAACTGCTAATTACAGTAGCCAGTCATTGCCATCTAATGTTGTAGTGTTAACATTGTGAGTAACAATAGCATTTAGGTTCATTCTGAAGAATAATCTGTGGGATATCTTGACTGTCCAGAATAAAACAGCCCTTTTTATAGATTTACGAACCTTTGTGCTGGTTAACATTTTAGTCTGAATCTTCTAATACATTTGATTATTGATGAATCCTTTCAATTAACTGCTTCATAACCGCACCTATGTATATATGTTAACGAGTTAACATTTGCAGGGAACTTCTGTGTAATGCATGGGCTTTCCTATTCTCAGCATTTTCTTTACTGAACTTTTGGGAGCAGAGCAGCTCATGCAGTTGCCAAGCTCCTGACTGTGTCCAGACTTTGAGATTATTTTTCTTCCATTTCCCAGAGTGATCTGTTGGGTCACATTTTCCACTCCTAGCGGTTTTTATGTGATGTGTGCCCTTCAGGATAATACTCTGGAACCCCTCCATGGACTCATTTGGTAATTAGAGAGTCTAAAAGAAAATGCTCACTGAGGAGCATGAGCACAATCTGTAAAAGTTACAAATCAATATATATGAAGGAAGGGAATAATTTACAGCCTTAGGAAACAGTTTGGGCCAGGAAAGAAGAATCTGTTCTATGTACTAAGGAAAAGTTTTACCATGGAGTATGACATCTACTCATTACAGAACAAAGACTGAATAAATGATCCTGCAGGGATTCGTGGGCACTGGAGGCAAGCTGAATACTCCACCCGTCCACAATGAGGCTGACATGGGTGGTACAGCCCATCAAGAGAATTTCCATCTGCCATCCCAGCCTCACATCCTTCTGTCAGTTGTTTTGCCCACAGTGAGTTAGGAATAGCAACAAAACCTGTTAGGATTTCTAGTCCTTGGGCTGATCTTAGGATACTTCTTTAGCCGTTCCACCCATCCAAAATTAAACCAGAATGGCAGTATCGCTCGTCAGGATTTTCAGCCCCCTCTTTCACCCATTCTGTCAAAAAGCCTCTTTTTTGCATATTTCCACCAAAGGCTGGATTTACAGACAGGCAGTAAGGTCCTCCCCCACTCACATCAGCATTCCACAGTGTGCTGTGCCCACCTTTAATGATAAGTGCAGCAATGGTAGGACCTTTGTCTTTTCTCTGTCATTACCATCATGGCTTCTGTAGGTCTAGCAATGGAGTTTTGAATGGGTCCCACTATGGTGGATGCATATCTCCCTCTAACAGGAATTAGTAGAATAGAACAGTGATTGGCGTATCTTTCCCAATATGTCTATTAATGAAAGTGTTATAATTCTATGGAATAGAAGTTATTGATCTTTCTGACTGTACTATAAATACAACTGCTATTAAAAATTAATAAAACTGAAGTAATTGTTTCAAAGATCACAGTAAAATAGTACTGTGCCACTGTTATCTCTGTATTGGGTGTTGGTAATCTTAAGTATGTAGAGATACAGAGAGCTATGTACATGATAGCTGGTCTAACAGCAGTAGTGGCAATAAGTGGCAATAGCCACTGTGGATTAGACTCTGGTTATTGATGCACGTTGCACTAATCTGCCAGTACAAATCTTCATCTTGCCTTCTTCTACTTCGGGATATAAACTGTTTCAAAGGTTCTTTCATAGTTAAAATTACATTTAATATGCTCTTCTGCTCTTTTCTTTCAAAATTACTTCTGTAATCATGATGAATTTGTTGCTAGATTCCATTAAGAGTGTGGTGTTTTGTTTTATTTCACCATGATTAGTTCTGGGTGGACCATCTGTGCCTTTCATAGCTTTCACAGGACCATAGGAAGTGTTGTGTTAAGCATGTAGCAACACTTTATCATATTTTATTAATCTTATGCTGTACTCACAATTTCTTCCATCATTTTGATGGTCTGACACATTGTGTTAAAAATAGCATTTCTGATCCTCCATTAAGGTGGCAGGAGATACCATTAAACCCGTGCCACAGTGATATAATTCATCAGCTTGTCATGCTTCACTGAAGAAAATGGAGGAAAACTTCAGCTTAATGCCCTGGATGGCTTCCATTACAGACCCTTTGAGGAATATGCTCATCTCCTTAAATGTGGAAGGGTTGTAGGATGACCTGTAAAAAATATACAAGAGTCACTCTACTGAATTATACTGGAACCTGTATTTTACCTTGTAAGGAAGCTAACTCACGGTCAATTTGCTTGTCTATGTAGGTGTTTACAGGAGGAGGCAAGTCTGGCTGCTGGTGTGACCAACTTTCATTATGTGTGCTAGACTGTAGCTCTCTGTAATGGCTCTCAAATGGGACATTACTTAAATGTAGTGAGGAATATTTCTGTATAAACAACGCAAACTTGGTAGCATGGGAATTCTCATCAACCCTTTGCTAACAAATCCAGAGGAGAAATTGTGTTGAGGACCACAGGGCTGTGTGTGAAGAGGACAAGACCTGGCTGTTAGGAGATAGATCATAGTCTTTCATGACACTGGCATCCTTTCTTTTTGGTAGGCCTCTTAATTTGAGGTGCTCGGAATGTTTCACAAACATAAGCTACTTCTACTGCCTCAGAAGCAGGCTAATCAAGATCAATTCCTCAGACACTGCCAGCAAGAAAAGTTAGTTTCCAGCAGGAAAAGCTGCCGGATCACTCTGTAGCTGCATAAACAGATACTCTGCCACAAGAGAGGGGATAATGTGAAAATGAGGAGTAAAACCAGCCAAGGCAGAATGTGTGTGGGGTGTTTTTTGTTTTGTTTATTCATACTAGCTTGAAGTATTTATCACACTAAACCTTAACAGCTCCTGATTGTTTCTTTGGCATGGATGCATTTTATATAGAACAGACTGTTTACTGTTAGGAAGTTTTATTCAGTAGTGCTGCTTTTGTTCCCTGTTTCTTTCCATTTTGAGTTCAGGTAGAGCAAAGACCCTTAAACTATGCAGGAGGAGTTCGTTGTAGAGAAAATAGCAGGGCAGTCTGTGTTGTTGCCTGACAAAATCTTAAAACTGTCCCTCTTTTCAGTTCCTCTTGCCTGACATGAGCATTGGAAGAGCAGCAGCCGCTGCAGTGTACAAAGTAATCCATTATGTGAAAGCACAGGGGAAGATAGAGATGAGGAGCTCTTTGCTGTTGTGCTCTGCCACTGGAAAAGCTGAGATGGGAAAGGCAGAAACTACCATCCAACAAAGCTGTTATTTATTCATTGACAGTAGTTAAAGTTGGTCAGGGTAGTTAGTGTGAATGTCTTGGGGGGTGGGTGGACGATAAGGATAAGAAGGGCTAGAGATACTGCCACTGGCTTCATAGGGAAGACTTACAATCATCAGAGTAAGTATGTTGAGTAAAACCATACCTATGGAACGCAAGTTAGATCAGTATATGGGTAGTTTTGGTATTACTGTGGTTTTGCTTTGGAGGGAGATGGGAGAGACACAGTCTTACACTCTCTCCTTGAGGTATAAGGGAGGAGGGAGCAAAGTCCAGGTTGTTTTCTGTGTGTCCTTTGTGGGCTCATTCCTTTGAGAAATTGCCTTTTGGCAGAGATAATGAGGGAAAAAAATGAGACATCACAGAATGCACTGGGTTCATTCCTTGGCTGCGCTACCGCCTCTGATGAATGAATACCAAAAATAGATCTACAGACGGTTTCACAGATACTTCCGTTACGTTTCGTATAGGCCACACTATGAAAAAGAAGTTACTCTTGCAGTTGTTTTGTTGTGGCTTACTTTTTTGCTGGAACATTAAGTATTACAAAGGGTTTTTTCCAAACACTGTATTTAATTGAGAGCATTTTAGATGGACACAGGATTTTCCATGATATTATGTAGGGGGGAGTTTCCTACACTTTGTCCAGTTCTTTTCCTGAAGAAGTATCTGGAGTTGTATCTTCCTTAAGGGATTTATTTTACCCTGTACCTCCTTGTGCTTAATGTATCTGCAGAAAACTGTGATCTAAATGGAAAGACTCATGACTCTGTTCCAGTACAGGAAAATCATCCCAAAGCACAGCTATTAAATAAAGATTACTGAGGAAGAGGAAATGGGTCCCTTGCTTTCGTTTTAAAATTGATTAACTATTAGTACGTCTTCCCATTTTCAGGCAGTAAAACAGATTTCAGGATTTTTAGAAAGCTTGCTTTGTAAAGCAAGAAAAGAAGGATTGTGAGACCCTTGGCATGTTAACAGAGTTTTCTGGTTCATTATTTAAAATTCCCTTCTGCGGAAGCTGGGCATTGGTCTCAGTGGTATCCTTCACTGCAGAGGTTTTTCAGCAATGATAAGCTTGACTCCATGAGTTTGCAGCCTTACCTCAGAAGTAATGTATATTGTATATCAGATAGCATTAAGTAACTGTTTACTTGCATGGTGAAGCAGTAAAGTGTTACTGAACTTCGTTAAGAGTGTGCTGGGGCTGGTATGTTCTTTATGAAAGTGTGTTCTTTGTGCCTCTGTGTTTCACTACGAGTGCCTAATAATGCCTTGGTGCACAGATGAATGTAGTGCAGTGATCACGCTGTTGTCATCCTCTTCTGTGTCCCTTCTTTTACTGTGGTGTCCATGTGGCTTTTACTGTTTATTTTTGTGTGTTTCCTGCTAAGGTAAATGAAGGCATGGAAATGCGTCCATGAGGGGAACCAAGCAGGACTTCTGAAAAAGTGGGCCTTGATAGGGAAAGAAATGCATATTGGATAAGATTGCTGCTAAAACATTAACCTTCTTCTTTTTAATACTGAAATCTGAGGAGAGTACACAACTTTTCTGGCTGTATATGCTCTGTGTGTGTTCACATGCTGCCTTAGGAAATGCTCACAGAGCTGCATTATGCTCCATTGTTGTCACATACATCTTCCTAATCCTGCTCTCCTCCCTTTCTCTCCCTGCCTCCACACAGAAATGGAAAACCTTATTGTAAAACTGTCATGCAAAAAACAAAGAAAATCATTTATTGCTATAATATTAGTACTGGAAGTATTATTTCAAATAATAACCACGTTCTCTGTGGGTTTAATTATTGTTTTACGGTAGTTATAGTATTCTTCTTAATTAGTTTCATTTAACAGTCCTTGGGTAAATATTATTAGTGATTTTTTTTTTCAAATATAATTATGGCTACAAAGAAATAGAGTTGTAATTTTCTGTGTTCATCTTTATTAGTTTTTCTGTCTTGCTCATCATTATGACATTATGGTAATACCCAAGCTAACTGCAGTAGTTTGCTCTGAATGTGGAAAGGCTAAAAATCTGCGCAGTAGTGATTACATCACCGGCTAGGTGACTAGCGTTTATGACTGCTTCGGGTTATGAACTGATTTGTCTGGTTCATTTTTGACACTTCAGTGGTTAAAGTTAAAAGATGCTCTCTCTTACATAAGACTGTCAGCCTCTGAACTTCCCATTCAAGTAAATACATGTTTATTATGTTTTTTTCACAGGGTCAACAGCCCTCAGAGTTATAAAATTAAACACACAACAGATCCTGGTGTTGCTAGGCGCTACTTTAGGTATACGTTCTGCCATCTTTATGCCTGTAGATAATGCTTCACGATAGAAATGGTTTTGATTATTTTTTTTTTTCACTTATTATGCAGTTCAGGATTTTTTGTGTTAAATCAGTATTAATCCATGTTGGGTTTCTTTTTTTCTCTCCTCTTATTTTTAGGTCATTGGAATATTAGATGTGTTCACACCAGATGTAACACTGGAGAAGTTTAATGACTTGTAAGTTCTGAGATGTTTGTGTTTGGAAGGAGGGCAGCATTGCTTTTGTGGGAGGAAGGGTTGCTGGATTTTTATCTATAAGATGTGTACTTCTTTCAGGCCTTAATAAGTGAAAGTTTAATGGATTTCCTAATTCACCTTTCAAGTATTGATTTCTCACCTGAAGACCCAGGTTGTCCAAATGATAGGATAATTCTTAAGCAAAACAAGTAGGCTGAAAATGATGCCTGCTGCATGACATGCCGGTGTGATCCATTTTAATACTAGGATTAATTCAAAACTGCTGATGCTGCTGAATGTGTTTAGTGATTATCTGTACTGCGATCTGTTGTACTCCCTTGACTGGTTTCCCAGTCCAGTGGTCCAAACAGCACATGGTAAAGACCGTTTCTAGCACCAGCCACGTACCTGACCTTTTGGCAGCATCTCAGATACTTAGCATGTCTGCTGCTTTGCTTATGGATCCCACTACAGTTCTTGTGCATTAGAGTCACTAGAGAAACAGTGGTTACAAGTCCTATTTGGCTTAATGTAGATTTCATGTTACATTCATAGAATTGTTCTGGATTTCATCTAATGTAGCTATGTTTCAGAACTAGCCTTGCATACTTATAACAAAGAAAGCTATCTGACTGGAATATGAAGGACAGAAAACGGAGCATGAGTTCATACTGATCCTTTGGGCCAAAATGATCAATGAGCCAAAAAGGTTGTTGTTCATATTGCCTATTGTGCTAGCCTTTTATATAGCATATGTAATAGAATGCCCATCTACCTTCAAGCACTGTCTTAAATGGGACCCTAAAATAACCTTTTGAGTTTTAGAGGTGCAAGTCAAGTAGGATGGACACTTTTATATCTGAAACTGCAACAGGTGAGCCTGTGGCAGAATTTTTCAAGACTTTGGGCAAGCTAATACTGGTGAGCAGAGGTAGAGGTGTGTACATTTAAAACAAAAGTAGAGAAACTGTTTCTGTGAAATGACCGCAAATGGGTCATTTAAGGGAGACTTTCTTTTTGCTGACTAGTCATGAGATGTTGTCTGTGGCCTGCTATACAAATATCAAGTTCAAGTGGATTTATGGCTAGAAGCAGCAGAAACATTGTGGGAGGTTTCACCAGAGCCAGTCACTAAGGTTGGTCTTGTCTGACACCTGGGGTTTCTTAGCTGACTTGTAGCCCTCCTGCCTGGAGGGGAGCATGCTCATACTCAACTGTCCACTCTGCTATCCTGCTCCTCTATTCTAATAGTCGGTGTTAATGAAGTTTGAACTCAAAGTCCTATCTATGAAGGAACAGTCCTTTGCATGCTCATGTTTGTGTTGAACTTCCTTCAGTTTTAGATATTGCTGACTGAAATGGTGTACAAAATCAGAAATGTATAAATTTGTACCAATTCGAGTTCTACTCTACCACCTGCTTTTCACCCCCTCCCTCTCTTATTCTTTGCATTAATCATGCTTATATGATACATGATGTGCCAGAACAGGCTGCTGGTCCTCATTTTGTAAGAATTTGGGGTTTTAACTAGAAATTGCAAAGAACTTAAATGCATTAGGCATGATGTTCCAGTTGAAGCGATTTGTTAATCAGGTGCCTAACCTTTTCAGATTATTTGAGGACTCCAGCTATGGATTCTAAATGCATTTTTAATAATAAAAATAAGTTTGTGAAGTTTCAAGTAGTAGACAAAGTGTTTAAAGTGAGCCCAAAGTGTTCGATCCCATTGTTGTCCTGTTCCAGTGTGGTGCTCATAAATTATTACTAAAGTTTGGATTTTAAAACTCAGCCAAAAGTGGGTTTTTCCTCTCTTATGCTTTGTTTGTTTCTCCACCCACCCACATTTGACTGCAAGAAATTTTAAGTCATCAATTTGTAAACTTAGCAAATTGTGCTTATGTAAAAATGTTGTCTTATTTGTGCTTCTCATTGTGTTCTTTGCAGTGCTTAATGTTTAGATATTGCTTTGAACCAAAATAGATAGAAACAGAAAACTGAAGGGCAGGGTGATGATGGAATTGTTTAGTAAACAGAATGATCTGTAATTTAATATTGTCACTGAACTATAACATACAATTATGTTTCGATTTATTTGACAAATTAATGTTATTCTGGCTTTGTTTTGTTTTTAAGCTACCTTGTCATGCCATTTATGGGAACAGACTTGAGTAAGATAATGAAGCATGAGAAACTAACTGAAGACCGAATCCAATTCCTGGTATATCAGATGTTGAAAGGCTTAAAGGTTTGCTGCTTCTATTATTATTTTTATTTCACAATCTTTTTTTTCCTAGTAAATCATTATGGAGAGCTAGAAATACTTATCCTTTGATAGCGGGATAAACTTTATCTTGCCTGGCATAGTAAAAGCAGTGACATTCTACACAGCAGTTGTTCAGTGGCGATAAATGTGATCAGGGGAGGGGAAGTGTTGTATTAATTATGGTTTTGTCTGTGGCTTTTTCAAGCAAAAATAAAAGCTATTCATTCAAGATCCATATAGTACATTGATCCAGGATGGCCTTGGTTTCTGTATCTGAGTACACCAGAAAGTGCCTGCTGTGATTTTTAGTTGCCTTCTTCCCCAGCAGTTGATTGTGGTAGTGCTTTGCCATACCTCATAGTGTGGTTGGTTGGAGAGTGTAGAGACTATGAATGAAACCGCTGTTGAGTTCAGAGGCAGGATTCCCCTTGGCTTGATCCCTCACCTACATCATCAGCTTCAGATTTCTGTCATTTGAAAATGTTTCCGTGGCTTACCAATACTGGTCTGACGCACTGTTACACAAGACATCTGCACCTGACTTGTTCTAAGTGTGGTACATGTCTGTGCACATGCGGAGTGCAGACCCAACAGCTACAGCAAAACAACATAGATTTGAATGTTAATGACCCGCACAAAGATGATTCTAAATGCATAAGCTGTCATATACTTTGCATGGTTTTCTTCCTCATCTTTCTGCTGTTTATTATTGCTACTACTTTTTTCCTCTGTTTGGGTTTTAAAAGATGGATTGTGATTTATTGGAGTTCATAACTTATAACAGAAAAAGAAGATAACTTTTTAAGCCCTCCCTGTCCATGTACAACCTGTATGAATGTGATATGAAAATGCTTCTCAGTCTATATTGGCACTACAGTGCTTTGTTGTTTTACAGTGTTTGCTTTTTGGGTGTACACAACTGTTCATCATGAAAGGGCTACTACTTCTTTATTACATTTTTATTTTGGTGACACAATTACAAGTGAAGAAGAACCTTGACCTAGCTCTGCAGGCTTCAGCCAGGCTCTCTATAGTGGTGCCTGTTTTATTCCCTTTGCTGCTCTGGAAACATGTGCTGTAATGAGTCCATGGAATGGCACTGTCTGGAACTGAATGTCATTTCTTGGCTGCTTGCACAGTACAGTTTTGATTTTACGGTCCCGTGCCTGCAACATACAAAGTATGTGAAGACTTTCCTCTGCACTCATACAGGGATAAGTGGACTCACTGTACTGGAAGGTGGGTTGCAGAGGGATGTGCTCTTGCAGTCGAGATATAGAGATGGTTTTGATACAGGAAGGTCTAGCACATCCATCAGGATGATCTTCCAGATCTATATTTGCATTGCCAAACACTATTAAAAATGAATAATATCGTAGGACAGCATGCTGTTCCTGGACAAAAACATCAGGAAAAGCATACACAAGACTCCTTTGTCTCTCAGTACTTAAAAGATGCAGAAGATCAAGTAAATTGTTTTACTCCCTTCACAAATCTCAGTAAATATACTTTGTTGTTGAGTCCTGCATTATTAATTTGTCTTTGACCTTATCTCAGATTTTGTGTTCTTCATTAAGTAGACATTAATTCACATAGCCTTTTACATATGCTAAGTAATTATTCTTTTTATGCTACAATCGTGCATTTAAATGCTGTAATTCCCATTTTACAACTGCAGAATCTAAAGCCAGGTTTGGGGAAATTGGCTTTATTTAAACTGGAAGGAATTCACCTTCAGGCTTTAAATCTGGAATTACGATTTCAGTTTCATAGTTCCCTAATTACAAAGCCATGTCCTAGTAAGTGTTTTCTCAAGGACAACATAAGTAGAGCGGACTGTTTAGTTGCAGATAACTGTCTGGGAAACAGGTTTCTAGGAGAGGTGTGCTATTCACCAGAGATTTAAAACATCATTTGGGCTGATTTTAGATGCAAGCAATATATGAGCTGTAGAAAAGTAGCTTGAGTTGAGTGTAGTAGAAAGGATGAATAATGAATTTCATTTCAGTGAAATGGCTTAGAAACATATTTTGGTCCCAGTGGCCTAGATTATCTCGGAGACCAAGAGTGGTGTTTGTGGGTCCCAAAGGTTGACTGAAGTCTGTTGGATCAGTAGATGTGGAAGGCAAGAAGAGCAGACGTGTATGCTTGACCTACATCTGAAGAAAACAGAGCAGGGATTAAAGAGGATGCGTTGGCTTTGTGTGGCAGGTTTGGTAGTGGGGGCTGCAGGGGTGGCTTCTGTTGAAAACACCAGGACCTGCCTCTGTGTCGTACAGAGCCAGTCCCAGCTGGATCCAGAGTGGATCTGCCAGTGGCCAAAGCTGAGCCCATCGGCAGCCTTCATCACACCCTTGTGATAACAGGTTTAAGGAGTGGTGAAAAATACTGCAGCAGCTGTGAGAGGGGAGTGAGAAAATGTGAGAGACACAGCCCTGCAGGCACCAAGGTCAGTGAGGAAGGAGGAGGTGCTCCTGGTGCTGGAGCAGAGATTCCCCTGCAGCCCATGAAGAAGACTGGTGGCATGAATTGACCCCTGCAACCGATGGAGGACCATGTCAGAGCAGATATCCACCTGTAGCCCATGTAGGAACCCATGCTAAAGCATAGGGATGTGCCCATGGACAGCCAGCATCGAAAGAGACTCCTGGCAGGTTTTGTGGCATGACCTGTGTCCCACGAGGATCCATGCTGGAGCTCCAGAAGGACTGCACCCCGTGGAAGACTGGAACAATTAATGTAGAACTGTCTCCTGTGGGAAGAACCCCATGCTGGAGCCAGGGAAGAGCATGAGGAGGAAGGAACAGTGGAGACAATGTGTAATGAACTGACCACATTCCCCATTCCCTGTCCCTCTGCGCTGCTCGGGGGGAAGAGGTAGGAGAGACAGGAGTGAAATAGAGCCTGGGAGGAAGAGAGTGGAGGGGAAAGGTGTGTTTAGTTTTGGTTTTGAACTATTCTGTTCTGTTAGTAATTGGCAATGAATTGATCTTCCCCAAGTCACATCTGTTTTGCCCATGCTGATAACTGGTGAGTGATTTCCTTGTTCTGATCTCAGCGCACAAGCTTTTCCATCGTATTTTCTAACCCCCACCCTTCTGAGAAGGGCGAATGAGACGGTAACTCAGTGGGCACCTGGTCAGCCTTGGTGGGTTGACCAGCCAAGGCAAACCCACCACAGAAGAAAAGAGCAGGAAGTTCCTGATGTTCCCTGCTATTCCCAGGGTCTTATAAAAATGAAAGCAGTTCTTACTCTAGTTACAAGGCAATCAGCAGGGATGCTGGGATAGTCTTAGTTAATTGGTATCTCTGGTCTCTAACCCTGTTACATCTTCTGTAAGGAGTGATTCTCGTGAATATTTTGTTTCTCTCCCCTCATTTTGGAGAGCGTAACTGTACTTACCTCAAAGTTACCAGCAGGAAATAAGACATTATTCAGCTACTGGACTGTTGTTTTGTCGTTTCCTATTGCACAGCAAACATGAAAAGTCTTTAATGTAGCTGTTCCATTAAAGTTTGAATTCTTCTTGAACCAATCCATCCAGCCACAGCAATGCACCTAGTTGGAAATATCTGTAAGAAACAAGAATGGTTCAGTGCTTCAGGGACATTCTTGCAGCACTGTCTGTGCTAGGAGGTGAGTTAAGCTGAAAGCAGTGTTGCTATCATGCAGGGGGAAAAGAAAAGGGCTCAGTAATTTGTCCTTTTCCAGCTATCAGGAAGTTAGCTGTTAAAGAAACTTTGCCAGGTTTTGCATGAAAATCCTGTACTTTCCGAAGTCTGCTGAACACGGTGCATCTGTGTTTACTTAGATTGCCTTTTTGTCAGGGCAGGGGGAACCAAGCATGCACACAGGTAGCACTCTGTTGAGGCATTGTAAGGGAAAAATACTTGCAGTGCCTGGGAAGGAGGTTCTATAGACCTGTGTTGTAAAACTCTTTCAACTTCCCAAGCTTGACCTCTTTTTTTCTTCCACCTTTTAACTTTGATGGACTCTATTGGGCTGGGTGTGGGGTGTTAACAATGTTACCTGCGATAGGCATTTGTCCTTTGTGTAAAGTACATACGCACTTTATAGAATGGTTTGGGTTGGAAGGGACCTTAAAGCTCATCCAGTTCCAACCACCTGCCCTGGGCAGGGATACCTCCCACTAGACCAGGTTGCCCAAAGTCCCATCCAGCCTGGATGAGGCTCATTTTTTTGGTGAGCCTTGTAATTTATCAGAATTTAACTTCATCTGTGATAGGGAAAAACAGTGTGATTTGACACCACTTAAAATCAATGAGGTGCCTCTGCTTTGTCTGTTTCCTAGCCAAGCCTTAGTCTGGTATTAAATTTGTTTAAGTGTGAGTTTGCAACTTGGAAGGGCTTTCATCATTTTATTTGTTTGACATAAGAGCTGTGTATTGTCAAAGAGTACAGAAGGCAAGCTGAGCAGAAAAGTCTCTATGTGGGTGGAAAGGGCTGGAGCTTCCACTGCTTTCAGTCTTGGGTCCCTCTTCTGCAGGACTGCCAGTCAGGTTTCTGTTGGTGGAGGTTGGGGAGGTGGGTAGCAGCCCTGTTTTCTTATGTGTTCAGTATTTAAGAATGGATGGGTAGCTCTTGGGCCATACAGACACCTGTTCAAGATTCTTTTGCCACACTCAGGGTGATATTTACCTGCTCGAGTTCTCCCCTTTTGAAATCTCTATTTGCTTTTTTTTGGTTCATATTTGTGTTTGTTCTTTTTGCTTCTCTGCTTTCTCTTCCTGCTCTCACACATTTCCTCTTTGGTTTTTCCTGCCCTGCCAAGTCACTCACCCTTTTCATTTTGCACGCTGCCTGGAATGCTTTCTTCTGAGTCTCTTCTAATTCCCTTTCTATTAGTTTTTTTATTTTGTGCAGAGATTGCATATGCAGACAGGAATGCTTAGAATTTAGACAACCGTTGGATAACTTCCTAGCATAGTCTGAAGCTTGCATTCAAGTATTTATCCACGCTACCAAAAATTGTCTTTAGGATAATGCACAGAGCTCATATGCTCAAGGCGCTTTACTCACATTAGCTGGGTTTTTCAATCAAATATTGTTCAGGTGTAGTGGTAGTAACATATTGTGAGGAATATGTCTGCACTGGCTGGGATGGTTTTGCCATGTTAAGAGTGAAAAAACTGCCAATAAATGGATGATTTAATGAGGAGAATCAGTAAGAGGAGGATCCTGTTTCAGAAGGTTATTGAACTGGAATGGAAAGGTTTCTGAACAGAGACTGGCATAGTTCCAGTGCTGCTACCTGCCAGGAGATAATAGAATGCAGTTAAAGAAATACAGCTATTTTTAAAGAAACACAGCAGCACAGCACCAGTATTTCAGCTTACAGAGGGGCTGATGTGTACATTAGCACCAGGAATAAGTGCTACTTCATGTAATCTCAATAGTGTTGTATTAAGAGGAGGGTTTAGAAAATACAAGCTTGCTCCCCAAAGTGTTAACATCATTTTGGTGCTGTGAACACTCACAAAACCTTCAGTGGGGTGAGAACACCAGTGAAACCACACTCTTTCCCCCAGACAGGTGAGATTAACTAAAACCCAAAAGGGTGCAGTCCTTCTAATTCCTGTTTCTACATGCCACATTCTTAGGTGCAGAAATTCCTCAGTCTGCCAGTTACTTCTTTACTGTGTACAGTCACACCAGCAAAAATAGCCTATAGAATATTTTAAGCACCTGATCTGGAAAATCAAGAGGCTTCAGTAAGAAGGCATTGAAATGATTTTGAATGCAAGCGATTGTGATATCCTTGATCAAGATGGTTACTGGCAGAAGACACCATCTTTTTCTTTACTGGCAGTCTAACTACTTACAGATACATTTCTTAAAAAAAAACAAACAAACACCAAACAAAACCCCCAAACTCCCCATATATATCCTCTCTGGTATCTGCATACAAATGACAAACTTCCTCTTTCTGCATCCAGTTCCTCCCATCCCAATCCACTTTATACACATCCATCACAGATACATTTTGTAGTTCTTCATCTGCTGTAGCAGTTTTACAGCCAACGTTCTGGGGAACAGCCACACGCCTTCAGCCCTTGTGTCTGCCCCAGGAAATCCTGTGAGGCACTTTGGCATTTCCTAGGGTGATGTTAAACCTTGCCCAATCTGCAAGTAGTGTGTAGCAGGAACAGGTCTACCGCAAGTGCCAAGACCTGCAGGGACCTGGGCACAGCAGTTGTCAGTGCAACAGTGGGGCCCTACCACAGTCTGGGCTGGATTGGTGAAGTTGTAGGCACAGGGTTAAGGGAGGGGATGTTCTTTTTTCACCACATTTCAGAACTTATGAGACCACATCTGGAGTGCTGTATCAGGTGTAAGAGAGGAGAAAGTAAATATCAGAGTTTCATTTCTGTTCAGCCACTGCTTTAAAAAATGGTTTGACTTTTGTGAGCCCTTATATAGATCACTGGGAAGGGTGATGAAAATATTCAGGTAAAAGAGAATGTCTTGCAACATGCCCTCTAAATGTTTCATTGAGGAAGTACTAAAGCATGTAGCAAGACTTCTTAACTAAAACCTTGACTGGCCTTCATCCTGATCTTAAATGATCTCTTAAAAGTTAGTGCTGCTGGAACATGTGAAACTACGCTATGACTGGAGACATATGTTGCAAGAGAGCATTTCTGACATATAAAATAGTAGGATTTATTTTTATACATATATATATATAGCAATGCCAAAAATTAACTGAAAACACAATTTTATGTATGGGAAGAATTAGAACTGTATGAAGAATTAAAAAAAAATGTATGATCCATTGCAGTATTCAAACTGATTTAGTGGTTTCTTTTTACTGGGGGAGGGGAAGGGCAAAGTGCTAGTTTAATTATCTGAATGTTAAAAACACAGCTAAAAAGGTCTTTTGTGCAATAAATAAACCTTTTCTAATTTAATTACTTTAGCACCATGAAAGAGTACTTTCTCCCCTGCCCCAGGCAACTTCTTTAAGTCAGGACCACAGTAACTAAAATCTACTTTCTCTTTTTACAGTATATTCACTCGTCGGGCATAATTCACAGGGTAAGTGGAAACAATATAAAAGATGTTTATGTTTTGATGAGAGGTGTTTGTGAATAAGCATGCTCATAAATGTGCCTGAAACTCTGTTTATAGTGTCTGGATTTGATGATGCCTTTGGTTTCTTCTTCAATAGGAACAAAAGGTGGTATGGTTGCATCAGTTTAAGCTGGGCACTCGAGTTGCACTGAATGCAGCTTAGATTTGGCTTCCTTAAATTACCTTGTGAAGCTGCATTGTCCCCACAAGAACAAATAGTGTCTAAATTAAGATGGTTAAGTGTTTCTTTTTTTTTTAATTAAGATTAAACTTTTAAGAACAATATATACATATACATGTTGTTTAAGAATTATGTTAATGTTCAAGGAAGTCCACTTAAAGTCACTTTGGTACTGTGAATAAGAAGTTCTGAATGATCCCCTCCTGGTTCTAAGCAGCAAAACTTCCCCCAAAACTGTATCACAGCAGTAGAAACTGACCTTTTGTACTAAGATACCAGGAGCAGCACAGAAAGTGCACGCCATCTAAAGAGGGGCGCTTTAAGCTGGACATGGAAGCTACGCGAACTGCCAAAATAATGTAATAAGTTGATATTCTTGTTTCTACAACTGCTGTGATCATGGTCTGAATTTACAGTTGCTGAGACCTTTTCTAAGCTCCCTCTTGTTGGCTCTTAAGTTTCTTGATTTCCTAACATTTCTTTGTACCAATTTGCTTCTCTTCAAGGCCCCTCTAACCTTAAAACAACTTCATCTAAAACAGGTGGATGCCTGTTAAAAAGTTCAGAAAGAAGATTCTTTTAAATGTCTTGTGCCAAAGTGTGTCAAAGGTTTGAAAAAGCTGAAGGAAACTCTGTTTCTGATTTTTTTTTTCTTTGTCTATAACTGAATGTCTAAAAGTCACTGATGTTGCAAAATCTTCTTAGCTGTTGCCAGTACGCTTCCCTTTGCTGCTAAACTTAGAAGTATAACTTCTGAAGATCATTAGGAGTCTCTGCAGTAGTTGAAGAGGCTTCAGGGAATTCTTTTTCCATGTTGCAGTCTCCATTCAATTGCCTTTGTTAGGAAATCAATTTTCCCACACAAGGGAACAGAGGCTTTTAAGTAGAATCTTTTTTGATTCCTTCGGTACTTCTTCTAAGTCTATCAGTGTGGAACCTTTGTAAAGTGTATTTTGATATGCAGTATGTACACTGGAGAAATGTTTATGTGAATCCTTAACTTTGTGGTGTCAGGACCACAGTCACAGGCCGTGGTCGTCGTGGGGGATTTTAACTTCCCTGATGTTTGCTGGAAGGACCACTCGGCAACCCAGCCGCAGTCCAGGAGGTTCCTCCAGTGTATGGATGATAACTTCCTCCTGCAAATGGTGGATGAGCCGACCAGGAGAGGAGCGCTGCTGGATCTCATCCTCACTAACAAGGAGGATCTGGTTGAAGCAGTAAGGGTTGAGGGCTGCCTTGGTTGCAGCGACCACGAGATGGTGGAGTTCAGGATCTTGTGTGGCAGGACTAGTAGAATACCAAGTAGAATTGCAACCCTGGACTTTAGCAGGGCAAACTTTGGCCTTTTCAAGCAATTGCTAGGGGAAATCCCATGGGCAGGGCTGCTTGAAGGTAAAGGGGCCCAAGATAGTTGGTTGACATTCAAGGACTGCTTTTTCCGTGCTCAAGATCGGAGCATCCCGACACGTAGGAAGTCAAGGAAGAGGGCCAAGAGACCTGCGTGGCTAAATAGGGAATTGCTGGGTATGCTCAAGTGGAAGAGGAGAGTTTACAGGTCATGGAAGGAGGGGCTGGCCACTTGGGAGGAATATAAGGCTGCTGCTAGAGGATGTAGGAAGGCAGCTAGGAGGACTAAGGCATCCTTAGAATTAAACCTGGCAAGAAGGGTCAAGGACAGCAAAAAGAGCTTTTTTAAATACATGGCAGACAAAACTAACACCAGAGGCAATGTAGGCCCACTGATGAACGGGATGGGTGCCCTGGTGACAGAAGATACAGAGATGGCAGAGTTACTGAATGCCTTCTTTGTCTCTGTCTACTCTGCTGCGGGCAGTCCTGAAGAGCCCTGTACCCCTGAGACCTTAGATGAAGTCAGGTCGACGGAGCGGTTTGCCTTAGTCGATGAGGAATGGGTTAGAGACCAGTTGAGCAATCTGGACATCCATAAATCCATGGGTCCAGATGGGATGCACCCGCGGGTGCTGAGGGAACTGGCGGAAGTCATTGCTAGACCACTCTCCATCATCTTTACCAAGTCTTGGGAAACGGGAGAGGTGCCTGAGGACTGGAGGAAAGCAAATGTCACTCCAGTCTTCAAAAAGGGCAAGAAGGAGGACCCGGGTAACTACAGACCGGTCAGCCTCACCTCCATCCCTGGGAAAGTGATGGAACACCTTATCCTTGGTACCATCTTAAGGCATATCAAGGATAAGAAGGTTATGAGGGGCAGTCAACATGGCTTCACCAGGGGGAAATCATGTTTGACCAATCTCTTAGCCTTTTATGAGGAAATAACACGGTGGATGGATGATGGCAGAGCGGTGGATGTGGTCTACCTTGACTTCAGCAAAGCATTTGACACGGTCTCCCACAGCATCCTCACGGCTAAAATGAGGAAGTGTGGACTGGATGATCAGGTAGTGAGGTGGACTGCGAACTGGCTGAAGGAGAGAAGCCAGAGAGTTGTAGTCTATGGGGCTGAGTCTAGTTGGAGGCCTGTAACTAGTGGAGTGCCTCAAGGGTCAGTACTGGGACCGGTATTATTTAATATATTCATCAATGATTTAGATGAGGGAATTGAGTGTACTATCAGCAAGTTTGCTGATGACACTAAGCTGGGAGGAGTGGCTGACACGCCAGAAGGCTGTGCTGCCATCCAGCGAGACCTGGATAGGCTGGAGAGTTGGGCAGGGAGTAACTTGATGAAATATAACAAGGGAAAGTGTAGAGTCCTGCATCTGGGCAGGAACAACCCCAGGTTCCAGTATAGGTTGGGGAATGACCTGTTAGAGAGCAGTGTAGGGGAGAGGGACCTGGGGGTCCTGGTGGACGACAGGATGACCATGAGCCAACACTGTGCCCTTGTGGCTAAGAAGGCCAATGGCATCCTGGGGTGTATTAGAAGGGCGGTGGTTAGTAGGTCGAGAGAGGTCCTCCTTCCCCTCTACTCTGCCCTGGTGAGACCGCATCTGGAGTATTGTGTCCAGTTCTGGGCCCCTCAGTTCAAGAAGGACAGGGAGCTGCTGGAGAGAGTCCAGCGCAGGGCAACTAAGATGATTAAGGGAGTGGAGCATCTCCCTTATGAGGAAAGACTGAGGGAGCTGGGTCTCTATAGTTTGGAGAAGAGGAGACTGAGGGGTGACCTTATCAGTGTCTATAAATATATAAAGGGGGAGTGTCACGAGGACGGAGCCAGGCTCTACTCAGTGGCAAACAATGATAGGACAAGGGGTAATGGGTACAAACTGGAACACAAGAGGTTCCACTTAAACTTGAGAAGAAACTTCTTCTCAGTGAGGGTGACGGAACACTGGAACAGGCTGCCCAGGGAGGTTGTGGAGTCTCCTTCCCTGGAGACATTCAAAACCCGCCTGGACGCATTCCTATGTAACATTATCTAGGTGTTCCTGCTCCGGCAGGGGGATTGGACTAGATGATCTTTCGAGGTCCCTTCCAATCTCTAACATACTGTGATACTGTGATACTGTGAAAATGCCACCAACTTATGTCCAAACCCCACTTGCAGTAAGATGAGTGAGTTCCTTCACTGGCAACTATTTTCCTGACTTCTAGCAGAAAAAAAAGTTGATTTGTTGGGGGGTGGGGGGACCCATACTGGAAAAAGCCAAACCTAAGCAAGTTTGTGTCTTTGTTTCTGTTACTTGTTATATTTAATGTTCTCATTTAGATTTATGACATTATTTTACCTGTTGCTGTTCTAAGTAGTTGTATGAAAGCCGTTAAAACTTAAATGAAAGAAAGAAGGAAAGAATGAGTGCTTCATTGGACTTGGTGTAAAATCAACAAATAACATCCATTTCAAATCTGATTACAGGATCTAAAGCCTGGGAACCTGGCAGTAAATGAAGACTGTGAATTGAAGGTAGGATATGTTTATTTGAAAAAGCAGTCAGATGTGTTTAGAAATACACCGCAGAAGACAACGAGTGCAACAGCTGCAGATGTGCTGGCTGGTTTCAGTGGAGGGCCAGGCTTTCAGCCCTTGGGCTTCGAGGGGTCGTGAAGAAATATGGGAATGGTGGAAAATGAAAGGGAAGAGGAAAAAAAAATACAAGCCACTGCTCCTTAGAAGTATTTTCCCATTTGTTTGACTTCACTCATCACAAAAATAATGAAATATCTATTTAAGATATAAAGCCCTGAACAGTGCAAATCTCTTCACCTCCTGTTTGGACGTCCTTGACTGATATAAATGTGCATTTCCTATGAACAGTGGAGGCAATGGTCAATTTCTGAGACCATTATGGAGTCAAGCACAAGAAACGGCTGCACCTCAAACTAGAAATCTTGCCTAGGATGTTTCAGCTAAAAATCTCCAGTCCAGAGAGGACACTGTGGGAAGGTGGTACCCAGTGCTAACAGGGGAGAGATGGGGGTTGACTCCAAGACATAGTTGATTTCAGGTGAGGAAGTCAGTGCTGTGGGTTATTAGAGTCATGGCATCATTGGAGCACTTGCTGACTTAACTCCTTCCAGCTGGGTGAAGGGAAGTGTAAGAACTGAAACTGCTTCTGTGGGTTTGGAGTTGATGGAGCAGTCCTTACCACAGCTGTGTGCCCACAGCAAAGGCATGTTTGTGACAGTCCCCCTTTTCCTGTGTGATGTGTATGTTGCAATGAATACTGCTTTGTTTGTATGCAGTCATACATCTAAAAATACTTTTAAAGAAAAAAAATCACATCATGGTTACAGTCAGATAAGAGCTGTAATGGAGAGCTCTTTTTATGATATGTTGCGGCTAATCTCTTCAGAGAAGCATGAGACGAATCACATAATGCTCACCACGAATAAGAACATCTTATTTCTTTGAAAGTGATTGCTTCTGCACTGTTACTGCTAATAGCAGTATCAACTGCATGTAGACAACAGTGTATTTCATAGCAGGAATTATAGAATGTATCAGTTCTGCTTCATTTTTGTTCATAATTGAAGTAGTGAGAAAAAAGTCATTAAAGTGAGACAATTCTTAATTCAGCCTCCTATTGTTCAGCTAATGGCAGTTTCTGCCACTACACTGCAAGACAGGTAGATTTGATGGCATTTTTTGTATTACATAGTTGCTGCCTCTCTGGAGTGGGACAAGTATCAGCATGTACTGGGCTTCCCTTCAGAGATGGGCAGGAGGATGGTGCACACCCACACCCCTTCCCAGTACCAAAGCTGGGTTTAGCTGCCATGCATCCTTGGAGACCAGGTCTGTAGCACCCCTTGTGGAAATAACGTTATGAGTCCTCAAGGGCAGGTGTTGCCACTTCCTTGGAAGTGTTCTCTGTACTGTCTGAGTGGTAATTCTCCTCTTGCACAACATTTGTCATCTCAAGCATCTTTCTTAATCATTGAACCGAAATACTGAATCTGGCCAACTCTGATTGCACTTTCTTAAATGTATTGGAAATCTTCCAAAGCCTGTTACAGTGGATAATATTTGTACTTCAGAAATCATTATGCAGTGTACCTTGAGCTAGCAAAAATACATCTATTTGGCTGTGTGAAATGACTTTGTTATTAAAAAAGTCAATTATTTATTATGAAGCAGAATTATGTAGTGCTCAACACTGTTTATTTTGGGAATATATTCTCTTGAGTGCAGACATAGTAGCCCCAGACTGCTTCCAGTCCCCAGTTAATTATATTCTTGTATTTTAATTTTTTGTCTTTATAATTGATTTTTCTCACCTGTCTTCCCTTAGCTCTAGCAATCTGAAAGGCTAGGCAGGGTTCTTCAGTGAATTACAAAATCAGGCTACATCTTCTGTCATGTGCTTGAATGACTGACCTATACATCCTCACAAAACAGCAGTAAATTTGAATGGGGCTTTTATATCCTGACATATAAATACATTTAGATCTTATGGCCAAGGGTTCCTCCCTAAAAGAGGCATAAGACTTTATGGGAGTAGTTCAATTATGAATATGTTATGTGTGTGTATGTATACATACATGCATACATACATATATATGTAATGTATATATTATGTATAATACAAATTTTTGCTCTTTGGAGACTGACCTGAATGTTCAGGATCCTGTTACTTCAAACTTTCCTTATCTAGCATAGAAATCCATTGCCTTTTCCTGGCTTGTAGGTGACAAAATGGTGAGTGGGTCCAGGTTGGTAGGGGAAAAAAAGAGCTATTAAAAACAGTTGTACATGTTTCTCTTTCCCACCCCCCAGCTGTGCAATTACACTTTGAGATGCAGCCCAGGTCTGAGACATTCTTCCATACTATGATCAGTCTCCTTACTTAACACAAGTTATTCTTTGTTGCTTGGATATTTTTAAGCTTTTAGATAAATGAAGACAAATAATACTATACCAGAACATAATTTTGTGAAACAACAAGGAGAGAATGTAGTACTGACCTTTGGTTTTTGTTTCTTTTGACTCTAAGAGTGAGATTATTGCGTCCCTGGTTGTACAATCAGCTCTGATAGCATATGCAGAAGGAAAGTGCAGATTTGGAACTACAAAATACTGGTTGTCAAGAGGCAGCTCCAGTCTATAAAGAGAAAGCCAACTATAGTATGTTGAGAAGTATGCACAAAAAAAAACAACCCCAAGGCTTTAACTGGGATCTTTCTTTCACTGAAGGAGTTGAACTGGCTTCCCCACATGTATGCATTCAGGTGCAAAAGGAAGGATATGAGCATGCTTTCAAAGTCAGCTTAACCTGGGCCCAGAACCATGCAACCATGCTACTACGCTGCTAGGGATAGCGCAAGCCTTTTTCCCTGTGTCTGTGCGCTCAGCAGCTTCCCTTGCATCAGCTCCAGCGGTGATGAGGCTGTAATAGGCAAGTTGGAACAGCTGCTTGAATTGGTAATTAATTAATAAGCAATCAGCTTTATTTTTCACAGCAAGCTTTCTGGCTCCCTCATCTAAAGCTCTCAGCTGCTACACAGGAGTCAGGAAAGTGACAGTGAAGGGTGCATGGGGGGGAAATCACAGCCCTTTCTGCAGTCTCAAAGTTTGAAGTTATTTTTGTTACAGTTACTGAAACAAGTTAGGAAAATTAAGTTTGCTGAGTAGAAAAGGAGCTTATCCTTAAGGAGCTGAGGGAATTTGCTCTCTCTTTTATAATTCCTGCATTATGGAAAGGATTTTTAACCTTGCTCTGAAAATTGCTTTAGAAGTTCCAGCTGAAAATTTGAATATTGGAGTATAAGAATAATAGTTTTGTGTGAAGAATGTTGCTGAAGTGGTACCACATTAAGTACTAATAGGGTATGCTTGTTCCTGAGCCTTATGACTATGTAAATGAAAAGAAATCCTGAAATTAATACGTAGTGCACAAAAAAATCTCAGTGACGTTTTCTGCTTTTATAAAAAGACAAACCCAAATTGTATTTTAGCTGTTTCCAAGTGTCACAAGCCTTAATATGGAAAATGCCTAAAAGGCTGTGACAGAATAGATGGTACTTCATGTGGCTTTTGACCTGTTATGTAAAACTTCCTTTTTTTCTTCCAGCCTGAGGAAATGTGTGCTGTATATGTAGCATAAATTTGAAAGCTGTATATAAAAGTGTATTTTGCTATTGCATGTATTTTGAATCAATAAGTCTTCAGTACCCAAAGAATCAGCCATATTCAAGTGTATTTTATTAGTAAGAATAAAAATCTCTTCCTTTGCATCCTACTTCTGTTTATAAATTGGTCAGCAGTTATGGGGGAAATACAGGAATGATATCTCAAGCATGGCAATAAAGAAAGCAATAATGTTTTATACACTTGATCTTGAATGAAAATGTAATCTTCCTTTCTGTTAGTGCTAGAGAATGATGAAACTATCCTGAAATGTTTTCAAACATCTAATTACAGAGAGCAGTACAAAACTATCACTCTTGGTTTAGTAATGCACAGGTGCTCCTAGTAAAAACTCTGCCCTCTCAATATATATATATGAAGCTTGACACACATGGAAACTTGTGGCTCTTCATGCAAAGGTATATACTCAACTATCTGTGGAAGATGATGATTTATCTTTATTAGACTTTATTTACCCAAGCCCCCTGCTTCTTGTTAGAAGCATGAACTTCCTGATAAATACAAACTGTCTGTCATTCCAGGAATGGGATTTTCTTGCTGTTGACCACATCTTTTGGCACCATCTTTCAATGGTCCGTACAGTGGGTTGGCATTATTACTCTAATTTTGTAGAATCTGACAAAAGGCCATTTTTCATCTTGCTGCTGTATGTGTTGCTGTATCTGGAGATAAATATCTAGGAGTCTTAGAAATAAGCTGAATTGCGCATAATCCTTTAAAAGAATTGCACTGACCTTGCATTCCTTACAGAGAGTTGCTCTGTAGTTTATGCAGTAGGTTGGAGAAGACTCAGTGGGACTAAATAATGGTAATTCCCTATGCTGCTTCAGATTTTCAATGTGATCGATAGGAAGCTATCCCATGTATGAGTTATTCATAAAATAGAAATAATGATACCTGCTTACTTCAGAATATTGCTGGACACACTCTTGAATGATTGTGCCACCTGAGATACGAGAGCAATGATTACCATCCAAGATGGGTGCTGCTCTTTTAGCCTTAACATGGGAGGATGGTTATTCCATGGCCAGGGAACTTTTTGCGTTGAATGTGTTCATTATCTTTCTGAATGGTAATTGAAGAATTTATTGTTTGCTTTACTGGTTTTACAGCTTTTAGTGTTGCTATAGGAGTATATTACTTGGAAAAAGAAATTGTAAAGCCCCTTGCTACTTCTGTCTCGTTTTTTAAAATGAGAACAACACACTTGAGTGAGAAAATGATGCAAAAATGAACTAATATTTACAGATTTCTTTGACACACTTGTACAGTCTGTATGAAATAGATTGCTAGCTGTCTGATCAGGCTGTTCTTTGCGCTTCCACTGCAGATTCTGGATTTTGGATTGGCAAGGCACACAGACAGCGAGATGACTGGTTATGTGGTTACGAGGTGGTACAGAGCCCCAGAGGTCATACTCAACTGGATGCATTATACGCAAACAGGTCAGGATCTCTTCAGAAAAGCCATACCAGAGCTAAAGCATTCACTGAGTCAGGCAATATATAAGCAAGTCTTTTTTTCTGAAATGAATGAGAAACTGGAGGTGGAAATGACAGTCTAATTATGCAGAATTTCCTTGTAGATAAATTGCAGGTAATTGTTTGGTGATTGTGGGTTTGGAGGCATTTTGTACATTTTTTGAGAGTAACCAAAAGTGCCAAGGTGGCTGGAAAGTAGTGATAGAAATGTATACAGATGTGACAGTCTGGTCTCTGTTCTTGTGTTCTGCACTGACTGTCATCTTCCTGCAAAGATGTGCTGATTCTAACTCAGACAGGGGAAAATGGCAGATGGGGGGAATTCAAGTAACACTAGGATAACTGTGAAAGTTTTTGGAAGCACTGAAAATTTACTTCCCACATCCATCTGCCTGTTACTGAGAAACTGATTCAGCATATTATCAGATTATCTCCAGTTTGCTTATTAGAAAGCCTGGAAGTTTCACTTTTACTGTTCATCCTAATTGGCATGGCGTTAATTTATTTTTAATGAGCTATAAAAGTAAATTTCACACTTTATGTTTTAAATTAAACTTTATGTACATTTAAAGGGACAGGTATTCAGCAATTTAATGTGACTGTTGGTCTTTTTTTCCAGTTGACATCTGGTCTGTGGGCTGTATAATGGCTGAGATGATAACAGGGAGGCCCCTGTTCAAAGGAAATGATCGTATCCTTCAGTGAATTTGTGACACTAATGTAAGAAAATGGTGAGAAGTTCTGATGTGATAGAGTAGGTCTGTTCAAAAACTGATGAGCATAAATTGAAATTAATAGTAAAATGCCTTGCACCTTTCTCATTGATTGCTTAATGTCTGTTCCACTCTTGCACATCTGACATTAAGAATTACTGAATATTTTCAATAGAGAAAGAGAACTGATCTTTGAATCACATCTCAAATCATCAGGTAAAAGGTTCTGTGAGGATAAAAAAGTTACATTTTGATTTTTTAGTAATAGATTCAGTAATTCCAGAACATGCACAGAAGATTCTGCTGCAGTGTATGGGCTGACAGCACATGCTAGTCCATTTCCTGCTTTTTGAGATTTTACCAAAAAGTGTTCTGTAAGTAACAGCTAGTAAAATGTTTCAGATTTACAGAAAACATCTTGCCCTGTCATTTTGTTGCTGAGGAGTAAGAAAATAGTGAAGATTCAGTCATCATTCAACCTCAAGTGATACTTCACTGGCAGTAGTAGTTATGATAATTATTAGAGGGCAATATTAATAGAAGACAGCAAGAGTTGCTTACTTTTTTTGTTATTTTCCAGTCACTACATTGTGATTTTTCGCTTTATTCTCCAGTAGTGCAGAAACACACAATTTTTGCAGGGTGATTAGTTTTCTTATGGTGAAAGTCTTTGTTCCTTATTTCTGGTAATCAGATCTGGACCAACTCACAGAAATAATGAAAGTAACAGGTACACCAACTCAAGATTTTGTTCAAAAGCTGCACAGTCAAGATGTGAGTATTTGGCTTTGTCAGTTGGTTTTACACATCTTAAGTTTACTTAATCCACGCTCAGTACTTAAACTGGCTGAGACAGTAGGTATTGGCTATTGAAATGATCCCTGATGTCACCTTTCTGCCTTGAAGTGCTTTGCACATAGCTACTGGAGATTGGGGGGGGGGCAGAAAATGATCAGAACGCTTGACAAATCTGTATATTTAAATACTTATGAGTTTCCAGTGCATACAATATAAGCAGTTCAGATGATGTGCTACTGCTTTTATCGGAAAATATGAATCTATTCAGAAAACTCAGTTGTTTGCAGGTGTCTGTCTTTTCTATTCGTATGTGGGTGTCCTTCTAGAATCCTTAAGCCCCTACTATAAAGAACGTAAAATTATTCATTAGACTAAGTATACCATTTAAATACTAATGAACTACTGTGCAAGAGGTTCCTGTAAACTCACTATGACATTCTTTCAAATGATGCATACATATTTATTCTAGCTAATATATTAAATATGGAGTACTAATAATTAAAGTTTTACATTATCATTTCTTAATCATAATTTTAAGGCTTGATTAAAAAAAAAACAAAGTTCTTTTCAACAAGAAGGTGAATATAATCAGGGTTTATGACCCCCCCCAAATTAATTTGTACACTGTGCTATCAAAGCATTGTTGAATTACCTATTAAGCATATAGTTAATGTTACATTATAAAGGCAGCAAAGTTCTAATTAAACACCCATGTTTCTTTTAAGGCAAAAAACTATATAAAAAGCCTCCCAAAGGTCCAGAAAAAAGATTTTTCATCCATCTTGAAGTATGCAAATCCTTTGGGTAAGACAGTTTGTGTGGATATGTATGATTTGTCTTGTTCTTGTGTTTGCATTGGAGGCAGCAGCAGTATCAGTCATACGATAGGTTTTGTGATGGTTCTTGTGCTTTTCTATCTCTTGCTTTCCATGATTCATAACTTTGCCAAGTTTGGACCCTGCCAGGACTCAGATGTTTCTTAGAAGTGTGAAAAAAAGAAGTATTTTGTGTTTTAGACTTCAGTCCAGCATCTGCTTAATGGTTTTGCTGGAGCAGCTTTCTCGAGAGCCCTGGCAGATTAAATATAAGTAATAATTTTTTCTCTGTATTGTATTTCAAATATAATTCTGAAAGACCTATCTGATCTGCAGTTGAAATGCAAGCAAATAGAAAGCTGACATTTTAGTCATGGAATTAACACATCCTGAGAAACATCTGTGCATTCCTGAGAAGTGCACTGGCTTGCATTTGATAGATACAAACAGCCAGAAGAGCATATCAAGTGTGCATAACTGTGACGTGACCCAAGGCAATCAAAGGTCTGAGATGGGTCTGCCCATCCTGTATCTGTTCCCCAATGACCTGAACAAACAGAAAGCCAGTTCTGTTAGAATATAAATTAGTATAATTGAATCTTCTCAATTTAAGAAGTTAAAATTGTATGTTCAGATATAGTAGAAATAAACATAATTAATAAGCAGCTCTTACCCTGACTGCATGGTTAGCTCAATGACCTGCTGACTGCAGCAAACTACATATTTCCATTTAGATTTTAGGATGTTTTTTCCTATCATCTCTGTGACCATCTGGCTGTTTTTTGTGGAGAGAACAACAGCTCATGGTCTGGGAGAGAAGCCTGAAAAGAATCCACAATGTGGCAAGCAGGAGTTGCAGTATCTTGTCCCATGCTGCTGCTGCTTCTTCCTTTCAGCTGCTCCACCCAACCCAGGAACGTTCTTTCAGGATAGAAAAACAGACAATAAACAAATCATTCATCATATCTGTTTACACTAGCTTGTTTTGACAGTCCAACAATGGACCTGATCCAAAACATAGAACATAGAAGATTTTCATGGATTGTTTTGGCTGAGGTGAAAACCACACAGCAGATAAAGTCAGCATGGAGATTCTGTACTTGGACAACTGACTTGCGTAGTCAGCTTCAGAGTCTAGTTGTGCTTGGATTTGGTCACGTACAGAGCAATTCTCATTCTCTGCAGCCAGCTGTTCATTCTGCTGCTGTCAAGTTGTAAGGTACCTTAGAACCACAACAGCATGGCAGTGATGAAAGACACATGGGAAAGCCCAAAGCACAGTGGTCCTAGAGCCAGAAGCTGAGAAGGCATTAGCTGCAGTGATGTGGCTGTGTTGTATACAGAAGCAAGGGAGCACCTTTGCCTTGAGTCAGGCTTTTTACAGATCCCAGCTTGTTCACAACACAGTTTGGCCATGCAGGCGGGCCCCAAGGCTGTAGAATGAATACCCAATGATTCTACTTTGTAACTGTATATTTATTTGAAATATCTCCAGGGCAGTGTTACTGTGCACAAGCTGGAGTCAGTGATGTGATTTGAATACACTGTTTGTTTTCTCTGCAATAGCTGTAAACCTTTTGGAGAAGATGCTGGTGCTGGATGCAGAGAAGCGAATCACAGCAGCTGAGGCTTTGATGCACCCTTACTTTGAACCAATCCATGATCCTGAGGAAGAAATTGAAGCTGAGAAATATGATGACACATTTGATAACATGGATCTTCCGCTAGATGAGTGGAAGCGTGAGTTTAGATTTGTGATGTTTTAAAAAATTACCAGATGGAAAGACCATGTATACCCTTCACAAATTGCCTTCTCTGTTTTTGGTGGAACAGAGTAAATAGACATCATTAAGATGATGTCTATTGATAAGCCAGTGTTCTTATCAAGGAATGATTCCCAAAGTTTTTTTCTCTGCCTCCTAACAAAGGCTCTCCTTTTTCCTATGACTGTCCTCCTGTCTTCTGCAGCGTAGGAATCATAGAACAGTTAGGGTTGAAAAGGACCTTAAGATCATCTAGTTAAAACCCCCCTGCCATGGGCAGGGATACCTCACACTAAACCATGTCACCCAAGGCTCTGTCCAACCTGGCCTTGAACACCACCAGGGATGGAGCATTCACAACTTCCCTGAGAAACCCATTCCAGTGCCTCACCACCCTCACAGTAAAGAATTTCCTCCTTATATCCAATCTAAACTTCCCCTGTTTAAGTTTGAACCCATTACCCCTTGTCCTGTCACTACAGTCCCTAATGAAGAGTCCCTCCCCAGCACCCTTATAGGCTGCCTTCTGACACTGGAAGGCTGCTATGAGGTCTCCGCTCAGCCTTCGTTTCTTCTCCAGGCTGAGCAGCCCCAACTTTCTCAGCCTGTCTTCATACGGGAGGTGCTCCAGTCCCCTGATCATCCTCCTGGCCCTCCTCTGGATTTGTTCCAACAGTTCCATGCCATTTTTATGTTGAGAACACCAGAACTGCACACCATACTCCAAGTGAGGTCTCACGAGAGCAGAGTAGAGGGGCAGGATCACCTCCTTCAACCTGCTGGTCACGCTCCTTTTGATGCAGCCCAGGATACAGTTGGCTTTCTGGGCTGTGAGCACACACTGAAGCTGGCTCATGTTCATTTTCTCATTAACCAACACCCCCAAGTCCTTCTCCGCAGGGCTGCTCTGAATCTCTTCTCTGCCCAACCTGTAGCTGTGCCTGGGATTGCTCCGACCCAGGTGGAGGACCTTGCACTTGTCATGGTTAAACTTCATCAGGTTGGCATCTGCCCACCTCACAAGCTTGTCGAGGTCCCTCTGGATGGCATTCCTTCCCTCCAGTGTATCAACTGAACCACACAGCTTGGTGTCATCAGCAAACTTGCTGAGGGCGCCCTCAGTCCCACTGTCCATGTCAGTGACAAAGATGTTGAACAAGACCAGTCCCAACACCGATCCCTGAGGGAGACCATTCGTTACTGGTCTAAATGAAACCATTTCTGTAGCATGTGGCCCTCCAGGGGATAGACAGGTGAAGAGATTCCTCAACTGTTGGCTGTATGGGACCGTTGCTGTATAACACAACAATTGTCGGCATTAATATGAAGTTAGGTCCTCTCAGGGAGAGAAAACATCTATCTCAGCAGACACTTAACTCTTTATCTAGATTTCATCTAGTGTCAGAGGTTTGTATTTTGGCTTTTAAGTGAGGACTTGACTTTTAAAGCTGATTTGCTGAGTAGCTTTCTGAGGATCTTGCCCACTATACTGTAAAGTCAATGCTTGCATCCCTTTGAAAGCACCTGTAACATTTCAGTATTGGACTACTTCTTCAAATCTGAAATGTTGAAAAGATGATTCTTGATTGTCTTACTTTTTGTACTCAGATTTCTCTCTTTTTTTGCCTGAAGAGGTCTCTCTCTTCCTGACCTAGACCAGAACCTAACCGGGCTGGGGCTTGCACCTTGCTCGTGTCTCCTTTTCCAATTAGACCGGCAAGTCTTATGTTTATTCTGTTGTTTTCCAGGCATTACGTATAAAGAGATACTGAACTTCAAGCCACCACAGACTTTGGAGTCAAAGGAGACAGCAGTGTAATTCTATGACTCAGTCTTTTCAGAACTCAGAAGAAAACAAGAAAGTTGTAAATGTTTGTGAGATTTCAGGTGTATAAAACTTTTATGAATAAACTGGATGTAATCTGTGTCATCTGCACTGTAAGAAAGTGCAGTGCGCTCTGCATGTGAAACTTGGTGCCTTTGGGAGTAGCATTTCAAAACTATCCAGAAACATTCCTGCCTACAACTTCTTCTTTATGCATGAAAGAATTCAGGCTGTGGTAACCCAGTTCCATCCTCAAAAGAGCAGGTAGGACTAATTCTTCTGCTCAAGGATCAGAAGAGTACAAGTCACCACCCAAGCAAGCTGAGACACAGAGTATGTCAGGGATGTGCTGTGACTGTTCTCCAAGGCTGCTGAACTATCCTGAATGCAAGAAGTATTCATGTGACTTTGTCTGGAATATTTCACCTTGGTAAGGTGCCTGGGGAGGCTAGTCAGCCTCTGCTACCTCAGTGAGTGCAGCAGGTAGTGGAAACAGCCCAGAGGAATGCCCATGTCCCTTGTCCTGTGTGAATGGAAGAGAACCTCAGCTCCAGCCAGTTCTGACAGATCTGGGCAAGAAGCAGAGAAGTGTGGATGTCCTAGGTGTTTTTCAAAGTAACCAGCATAGCAGGACATGACTTCACGAACACTTGGTGAGCAGTCGTTGGATAAACAATGGCTGTCAAGGGGCACAATATTTCTTTCTAAATACAGTGCAATCTCTTTATATTACAGACTAGGGAACAAGGATTTCCAGGGAGAAATAAATGTTAAGACTTTCTAAAGTTTTGTAAGGTTTCCAGCTTCCTGGTATTGAAATGATCACTGAGAAAGTACCTCTTTCTCAGAGGACTTGCTGGTTATAGATTCAGCAGTGCTGATTTTAGAAGTAAAGCTGCATGCAGGTCACATCATAGAAAATTAAATGAGGATAAAAATGCTACTCTGCAGCTGTTCATTGGGAATACCTGCAGCAAGTGGTTTTGTTCACAGTGTACAGAGGTGTTCCCAGGTGCAGAATAACAACCATTCCTGGGTTTATGAACTCATCTTACTTAGAAAAGCCCTCAGACCTTCTGTCGAGAAGTGCATCACCAGGAGTCAGCTTCCTGATGGGACAGATTGGTTAGACACTTCATGAGTTCCTCTTACATTTACTATATTTTCCTAGGTGCTTAGTTCATAATAATCTCTCAGAGGTATGACAATAAATTGGTAAACCTTTGGTGAAGAATTTCCATGTGAGATTGTTTGTCCTTGCTAAAGGTAATGTCTTTACAATTGACTATTTGGATGTGGATTATTCCCAATACAATATGCCGGTGTGTGTTGCTATTAAGTGAAACGATTGTGAAGGAAGACGTTAGATCCTGGGAGGTAATAACTGGAAAAGAAGTAAGAAATTACTTAGGGTTTTTTTGCTTTAAAAACCAACTTAAGCCAGAAGTTTTATCAAGACACAGTTCTTTTCTTTCAGTGAATGTTAAGTTGAACACCTGTAAATACTAGCATTTGTTTGCAAATTGTTTGTGATGAGCATTGATTAGCTGAGATGGGCACTTAGACTAAATGGTGACAGAAACCTTGAATTATTGATGTATTTGACAAGTCATTAAAAACAGAGTTTCAGGAATGCATAAAACAAAAAGCAGAGAATGTAATTTGAAACAGAACATTTTTCTACACTACAGGACACTGAGGAAGGCACACTGAAGAGTCATACCCCATTCTGCAGTATTGACTTCATGCTTGGACTACACTTCTGTGTTAAATAGGAACTTTAGTGTTTTACAGAACAGATGTTTTCTCTTAGATTCATACTCTCTGGTAGTCTTAATAAGTCATGGGAGAAAAGTGCCTATTGGTGTTGGTAGGCTTGATTTAGCCACTCAATGGGAAATTAAAATTGTCAAAAACTTCTCTGAAAATGCTCCTTCTGTATTTTAAATGGAACTTCACCATGCTAAATTCTAGCAAATATCTGCAGAGATAATGCAGATGACTGAAATGTTAGTGAGACTTCAAGGAAGCGTTATTTTTCATTGAAATCTGCTTTGCTTTTTCTTCATAAATGCCAACACTTCAATGGGTATTTTCACTTCCTCTGCCTTTAGTTTTAATGAAGTCAAGCCCTAAGACTTTCTTTTGGCTGAGGTGAGCTTTTCCCTCTCCCAGTATTGGAGCAGCAGCTAGCCCTCAGGAGGAAGACATAACAAGATAATGTTAGTTTTTCTAGATAACTGGAGGAATACAGAACTCAAAACAACTGAAGAGAAGACCTTAGCACATGTGTCAGCCAAGACAGCAGTACTGCTGTGCTGTCTCATCAGCAAGCAGTCCGTAAGGTAGGATAACGAAGATGGAAACTTTGTCACATCTTGGCAAGCTGTTTCTTTGAAGAGGCTGAAGTCTGCAGAAACAGGTCCAAATAACAATAGCAATTATCGGTATAAATAGCTCATTAAAAGAAAATGTGAGGTGAAAGCAGAAATATTTTGCATGGGAGGCAGCTGCTGCTTCAAAAGGAGAGACAATGTTTCCTACTTTTTTTGCTATTTCTACAGGTGCTAAACAACTCAGGAATAAGAACCCAATTTCTGTTTGCCTTAGAGAAATGTAAATACCTTTTGCATGTACTTGAAATGTACTGTGACAAATAAAGGTTGAGGGGTTGCTTTTTACACCGCAATTGTTTTATTTTCCCATGTGTATTCCCAGATGCATCGTGACTCCTGAAAATATTATTTTCAGTATGAGGGAACTGCATGAAACATAATGTTCATGTGATATGAGATGCTCATGCAGTTTATTTGGGAAGTCAGGCCACAGATGTGAACCCTTCTCCCATTTTCCAGATTTCAAGTCAGCCACAGAACTGTTCTGATTGTACTACTGCCACGTAATTATTTCTTACAGCATCTTGGATTTTACCAGACATCCCTGCTTTGTCCTGAAGGGCAGGATTTCAGTACGTAAGTGCAGTTGCAGTTCTCAGCCTGATTTTAAAAGCCAAAGCCAGATTGACAGTCATCAAGCATTTCTAACTTCAAGTTGAACACGGTGAGTTAACAGAGTTCTAGTAGGATATATGGGACCTTTGCCCTGAAAACCTACGTGCCCACTGACTGAGCAAGATTGTCCCATTTGTATTGGTCTTCATTGCACTGAAGACCCGTCACTGATGTTGAATTTTGATAATGTGGTGTTGTGTGCCAGAAGTGGCACACAGTTTCACTTCTTGATTATTTGGGGTTTTATCTTGGGTTTTTACAGGATAATGCTGACGTGAGTGCTAGTATGTTTCCTGCAAAATGTTTTCAGAAGAGCCACTTTGTTCTTGATTTGGAACTACCAGGTATATGGGCTGGGTGGGATTCTTTGAGCTTTCTACTTTCTGATATGCTGTTCACATACATATAGCAGATGCTTCTGATCTACTTCAGCTAAGGTGGTCAGAGAACAAAGCATCTGTTAGATGCTGTCATTCATTGGATCTTGGTATGGAATACTCCTACAGGGCATTAGATAGTCCCTAAAGGTACCGGGGACAGAATAGGGGCTCGTAACACCTGCCATGTCTGCTGATTAATTCTCCATCTCCTCAGTATACTGTAGGGCAACTGGTTGCGTAAGCCAGATAATACCAGAAGCAGTTCCATGGACTACAGCACTCAAAATCTAAGAATTCAGAAGCATGAGCTGGAGAAAGATCAAGGGAGGAGGTTTGCATCAGGCAGGCACTCTTTGAAATTCCACGGACCACCAGTTAATGAGCAGCTCTTGTGCACAGGTTATTGGCAGCGCTCTAGGATAGTAACATAATGATCTAAAAACTGCATTGCCACCTACCAACCACATAGGCATGGGAATGATGCATGCTTTTTAACTACCAGGAACAGCATCCCTCTGCAATGAGGTAAATGGGACAAAGAAAGTAATTTAAGGATTCATGATTTTTGAATGCCATTATCCTGCTTTGCAAATAGAGCTCCTTCATACTTAACCTCATTATAGTTCCATGCGGGAGTTTTCTAGTTCACCCCAAGTGAAGCACTCCACTGCTTCATGCGTAAGCAATGAGGTGCATTCCCCGGCTATGTTTGAGTGATCCAGGCATGCAACTTCTGTGATCTTCACTGAAGTATTTGAATGTGCTGTTATCCTTGAGAGGAAAAGAGGCAACTGTGAAGCAACCAAATGAAATGTAGTGAAAGAAATTGCTCAGGTCCATTTGAGAATGCTCTCCGTTTTACAGTGTGGTGTCCTGGGAGCATGTGCTTGCAGGGAGCAGGAAATGTCTCTTGCTGTGTTTGCATGGTGCATGCAGCTATGAGGCCTCACCTGAGTGACAGTCATGATGCTGACAACCAGACTGCCACCTCATCCAATTCAGTCTGACATTAATGGGAAATTCATTATTATTATTATTATAACAGTAATATTATCATGGGTTATAACAGTAAAATTACAGTGCTCAGATGGGCATTCAGTCCCCTGGGGGCCTGGGCCAAGACAGCTTTTTTCCAGGTATTTTAAGAGACCAATTTGTACATGACAAGTGGTCCTGCTGCCAGGTAGTGCCACTTTGGCAGGTGTCCAACCACTTTGCTGTTCCTAGGAAACTCCTTCCGGTTTTGGGTTTGAATCAAGGTTGAATTTCCTTTTTCACAGGCACAGTAGTGTGCTGCTGTAAGGAGAGAAAATATGGCCAAGAAGTGTAACCAGAAAAACATTAACGCAAGTTTTCTCTGAAGCAAGCCCACTTCAAGATCTAGGATAACATTATCAAGTAAGGGTCAGTTACAGGGAATCAAAATTGATACTCAGGAAGAATCCTGAACCATGGCTGGAGTAACCAAGTATTTTTGGTTAGAGTTTGAACTCTTAAGAAGAATCCCAAGAAGACTTTTAGTTTAATGCAGAAAATTAACGTAGTATAAGCTTTGAATAAAGAGGAAGTATGACTGGTGCACAAATGTCTGCTACTCCTGAAGCAGGGCTCCTTTTTAAGAACACATTTGCATATTGATGAAGGAAGCACAACACTGCAGGGAACTTCCATGGAAAGCATCCTTCAGAGGTGTAGGTTCAGCTAGAAATATATGTGTTGTTCCATCTTGTTGAACAAGATGATCAAATCAGGCATATGTTTGATTCCATTTGAATGATTACATTAAAGGTAAGGTGTCTTCACTGAGTCTGTTAACTAGGGTTCTTCATTCTGGATTTCCAGGCAAAAATGTAGCCACAGGGAGATCCATCTCAGGGGTTCATCATAGTCCAAAGAGTCTCAATTTGTTCATATCATTACTACTGTCAGCACAGTTTACCTAGGTGATTACAAGTTCCTTTGTGTATTTGTCTTACCATGCAGGTTTATGTTATTTTTCTTCATGTGCTACCTTTTTCATTGAGGGCAATGACTAAGTCTTCCCTAGGAATGTGTTAGGATGTTTTTACCAGAAGAGATCATAGCTCCTTCCCCCAAGCTCTTGAAGAAGGGGGCAACAATGTGATCACTACAAGGCAGAGTTTAGAGCATGAAAGAACCTGTGTCATGGTTGTGGTATCTGAAATGGTTTGCTGTAAATGCTATAGATCCTTCTCCCCACATCTGTCAAAGCTGCCTTTGACTGTTCCTTGTGTTCTGGCTTTTTGGCTGAGACCCAGTCCCTTTTGCAGCTGGGGGTGCTCTGGGGTTGCACATGCAAGCCTGTGGGAGCTGTTGGACACGTGGGCTCTGCACTAGGAAAGTCACCAGGGCTAGTGTTTCCAGGTGCTGACCTGCCTGCTCTGCAAAATCACTAACACAGCTATGGCCCAAGGCAGCTGCAGTCTTCCTGCAACTCCCCCAGCACAGCTGAAGAGCTGACCGGGGTCAGATGATGCTCCTAAGGGCAGTGGGATGCTATCAGCCAGCTTTAGAGGGCAAGAGGCTTTCCTAGCATGGGGTTGGGCAGTTTCTTGCCAGCTGGAGTTCTCAGATTCAGCAAACTGCTCCAGGCATGGTTAATTTACTAGCACAGACATGGGCACAGAGCCAGCAGTGGCTGGAAAATTGGGCTCACCCCAAAGTGATGGGTGTGTATACTGCAATGTCTCTGTGCTGTTGTCCTCTGGCCATAAGATAATACAAACACAGCGTTTGTGCGGTAGCTGTTTAGGAAAGCATGATGCTGAGCTCTGCTGTAGGGGTTGTGGGAGCATCTCTGGGGGCTCCCAGAGGTTTGGCTGCCAGGTCTGGGAGCCAGCTCTGCGCTGGTGCGGCCACAGGCAGCCCCTTCCCCGTGGAGACCCTAGGGGCAGGCTCCCAGACACTGCAGGGCCAAACCCTGGCCAGGGGAGCTGCTCCTTACTAAAGCTCCCGCCTTGCCCATGCCTGAGCTGCAGCTCCCCACTGCTGTGTGCCAGGCCAGGGATCCCTCTCAGCCACCACCACCTGCGTGCTGATGTCCCAGCCTGGCCTGTCCCCATCCCTGGGGATCCACACACATCCAAGGCTGCGGCTGTCCCTGACTGCCTCCCACCTTCTGCCCTGACCTAAATATGGTGTTTTACTTGAAATTAAGGTCAGGTTGAAATGATTTATTGGCAGTGCTCCAAAATAAAATGGAATCAGTACATATTTTCACTGCCATTTGGCAAATCTACTGTAAGTGACTGTGATTCCCTATTTGTTATTAACAGGATTTGGACTAAATAAGTGTCATAACATGATTTGCCCTAATGAAGTTTTTCATACATGATGCATTTGTGGCAAAAGTAATGATGAGATAGGAAAGAAAGTAACTTCAAGAGAGCACAGATTTCCTTTAAACAAACAAAAGACAACGCAGGAGGGTATTTCAAAATTATTACTAATCCCTTAAATAAACACTCAGACTTGTCAGAGCGGGGTAAAACTGCAGCAGTGAGAATACTGTGAATGCTGAGATCAAGCCCTGCTTGCTGGCTGAGCGGGAGGGCTAAGTCACCAGGGATACAAATAAACTGTGGGTCCCATGTCACGTTACAGTCTTTGACATGACTTCTCTTACGGCTTCCAAACACTCTGGTAATGCTGTAAATTAAAAGTTGCTGAAGTATCAGGTGTGAAACTATGGTTGCACAAAAACAAATGAGTATTTGGAGACTCTCTAAAATGAGTGGGATTCTCTTCACAAACATCTCACTACAACTATAATTACTATAGCTACTCAGTATTGCCATTTAAAATCTCTAAAACAGAACATTAACTACTTTTTCTTAGGTTTCCCAATGAATTGTATAGCTTTTTATGTTTTATGGCTGGCTTAGTGGTTTTGATCACCTGGATTTGATGAGATTAGTGTTATGAACTTAGTGCATGTCTTCCAGATTTTGAATTGCTTTCCATAGCTTGCATTTGGCACCATTAAAGTACTTTGAGATATAAATTATGTATGTAAAGGGAAAATTCACTTTGCACTGTAACCTCAGATTTTAGCAGAGGGGTAAGCACAACCTCCCATGAGAAAATGCTCAGGAAAGGCTGAAGAGCTGAGCTGAGCATGCAGAGAGCATCACTGTGCCCCCAAAACTGACTTGCCTTAATATGCCAAATTCATACCAGAGGATGCGTGAGGGCTCTCCTAGGATTAATAAATTCTTCTCTAATATGGTGATGTGACATCAGCAGCTGATTCGTGTATCCTTGTGATCA